GCGTGCAGCTTTTCGCCGGCGAGCTGGCCACGGGGGGGCCCCTACGAGCGCGCCAAGTGCTTGGGCTGTACGAGCAGCGCGAAAGTCTGCCAGCGGAGAAGCTCGAGTCCGCGACCGAGGCAGAAGATGGACTCGGGCCTCGGGGAGAAAGACGTCTCGCGGGCTTCGCGCTCCCCGCAACTTGCGCGTAACAGCGGCTGGCCGTCAGCCCGAGTGCGTCTCGAAAAGGTGCGACGGAAAGCGATATTCTTGCCTCGCGCGGCAGCTTCGCCCTCAAATGGAGCCGCTCCAAAACACTCTCAGGACTCGACGTCGCGCCCTCTTCCATTCCATTATGTGCTCCTACAGTTCTGCCCCAACGACGAGGATGCCTTGCCTTTCCGTGGGGCTCCTTCCAAGCCACCTTCGCATCTGTTCCTCCATCCACGCTGGAAGAGCAGATCCATTTCCCCATTCGTTTGCAACGCCTCTTCGAGGCTTAAGCACATCGGTTGTGTGGTTGATCACGCCAAATAAATGTCGCGTTGCCATCGTTAAACGTTACGGCCGAGCCGCAGATGCAGCCACACTTGTCTCTACCGAAGCTAAGCAACCGACGAGCAATTCCACTCGTCATAGCAGCACTAATCATAGCAGCTTTAGCGAGTAGCTCCGAGACAAATGATAACTCCAGTCTATAAATAATTTACAGCGCGTCGCTCAAGATCGTCAACGGAGTGGATGGACGTTGTTTTTCTTCGCTGAATTCTCTTTCTTTTGGAATAAAAGCCGCGGCGCCGGAACGTATTCCGTTTGTCGAAAGTAGAGATAGCATTATTGCCTAGCTGGCCGAGCCGGCAAACGGCTGCCGATGGGAAATGATCGCTCGTCGCTCGAAAGTGGCGCGTCAAGGATTTTCCCAGCAGCGAGGTCGCTTGCGGAGCGAGGGAGAGAGGGAGAGGGAGGGAGAGGGAGGGAGGGAGAGAGAGGTGGGAGCCGTCACCTATATAAATGAGCGCGTGCGCCAAGTTTGCGAAATTAATTAAGGGAGATAAGGGTATGGCGTTGACGAAGCGAGCCACGTGCGCCGAGCCCTCCCACGTTAGAGCTCCGAGTTGGCGGCCGTTGGCGGCTGTTGGCGGGGGTAACGCAACACCCGCACACCTCTCCTGCTCTGCCCGCGCCGCGCTCTTAGCCCTGCTTCGCAACGAGCGTTGGCTCGCGCGCGACCACCGATCGCCAGCTGCGGACCGTCAACGGGGGTCCGCCAGATTGGCGGCAAGAGCGCGCAGCGACGCGAGCGCAGCCAAAGCGCGCGAGTCGTCTGTGTAATCAGGAAGCGACTGGCCGAAAGCCTGCTCGAGCCCACGCACGTGCAAACAGATGTATAACGTCCGTCAGCTCGGCGGCAGTCTGTGTGCCCACGCAATACAAACATATCGCCTTACCACAAAGCTACGCCCATCGGGCCGCCGCAGGCTGCAAGCTGCGACGCGCTATCAATGCCGCGATACTGGCGCTGGCCGGCCGCCGGCGCAGCCTTTTCGCCGCGATTAATTGCAGCAGCGCCGCCTGATTGCCGCTCCTCGGAGGAGCACCGAGCGCCCCCCGCCCCTCCCAACGCGGGTTTCCCGGCGCGCTCCAGCCTCGATGCGGCGAGTCGAGCCGACGGCTAGAACGACGGCATTGGCTCGCGGTTTCCATGGACGCATCGATCTGCCTCTGCGCGGACGCAAGCAAGCGACCCCCGTCCTGTACGTGCCTGCGCATACCCGTGCACGCGCGCCCGCCCGCAGTATTGCGCTTATTGCGCGCTCCTTCTTTCCCGCTGCTCGTCGCGCGTTGGAAAACCAGCAGCTTGAGAAATCGGTTGCACCATCGCGAGCAGCCGCGAGCGGCCGACCGCACGCAGGAGTGTCGGGTACCCGAGTCGCCGAACGACCGTCGATTCGGCGGGAACGGCCGCGCGGCTGTGGGGGAGGGGGGCAGGTCGGCCGGGAAGCGCGAGGAGCGCGAGGCGGAGGCGCCCTCTCGCGCGTCCGGCCGGCGCTCCAGCGCCCCGGGGTGCGGCGCGACCGGCCGTGATTGCCAGCGAGCCGACCAGCGCGACGCAAGTGTCTCAGCTGCGCAGCCAGCGCGTTTCGCAGCGAGCCTGCACGGCGCCGAAGCTCGGCTGCTTACAAAGGGACAATGGGGCCGAGTGCGATTGTTCGGCGGCGACCCTCGGCTCGGCCCGCGGCAGGCAGTGGTCGCCACTCGCAGTAAGCCTTCCGTCGGCGAACTTTTGTCCGTCCGAGTGCTGCTGTCGATTGGGCGATAAATTTCGTGGCGAGCGGACGCCGCAACTGGTCCATTACCGTCGGCGCGCCCCGCAGCTTCCGAACGGGCCCTGCTCCCAGGTTTGTCTCCAAGTTTCGTTATTTATGGTACAAATAGGGCCGCGCGAACACGCCCAATTGTGAGAATCGCTTGTTTCCCTCTGTTTCCCTGCTCGATGTCTTCTTTTGTGGGCACGCCGTTAACCGCAACGATCGGCAATGTGGATGTTTCCTTTCAACTTGCCTCGTTGACAGCCTGTCCCTACATCATAGCTGTCGCGCTCGGGCTCGTCCGCGAGCGGCTGACGGCCGTTGCTGGCCCTCGCGACGAGCACGACGAGCCGCCGGTCGGAACGGTGCACCCCAGCATCCGACGCAACGGCGATTCCGCGTCGGTCGCTGCGCTCCTCGCGCTCGCGGACACGCGGGAGGTGCTGGCTGGCTGCGGCGGCGAGGGGGCCGTGCGAACAGTACTACTACTACTTGCAGGAGGATCCGACTCGGCGCGAACTTCGGGCGCGGCCGCGAAGCAAGTGCGGCCCTGCTCGGACGCGTTGGCGTGTCGACGCGACGATTCGCGTCGTCCGGCGCCGGGGGTTGGGAGGAAGGGCCAACGGAGAAGAACGAGAGAAGAAAGTTGGCGAGCGGCGCTTCTCACGCGCGACGAGCAACAAGTCGAGAGGCGCAGTTGCGTGGCATCGGTGTCGATGCTCGGCGGCAGCCGCAGAAACACCGCTTGCTCGCCGTATGGGGCACATGTCGGGAGCGCGCGCGCCCCATGAGGTCGCCCCGGAGCTCTTTACACGATGGGAAAAGGCGAATGGGCGCGAATGGGCGCTGCTCACTTGCGTGCAGCGTCGCGGGCCTTTGTGCGCTCGTGGGCTGCGCGCGACAATTGCGTTCTCTCGGAGTGGGCCACGCTGACTTTTCAAGCCGAGAGGCTTTCCGCTCCGGCGACGTGCCGCCGGTGGCGAGCGCGACCATGGGGAAAGGGCGACGAGAGCGAGCCTGCACGGACCCAATTAATGCAGTACGATGGGCGGTCGGCCAGGCTCGCGGTGGCCACTTGGTCTCCGCGGAGGCGCCAGACGAGTTGGCCGGCGACGGCCCTACGCGCTCGGCCCGGTGCGCGCCGATCAGCCGCGCAATTGTAGCTGGCGCGACATTGCCGCGTAATCTGCATAGGGGCGCGCCAGGACAACGCGGAATCTCAATGGCTCGGTGGCAGCTCCGCACAATCGGCCAGCCACGGCGACAGAAAGGCGGATATGGAGTGCCGACTTCTGGGCTTGTGCGCGCATTGTTCGCGTGTCTGGGCTCGACGACACGTTGACGTGAAAAAGTGGCCTCATCTCCGCCGACAAAAGGACCTTGCGCGTCAGCCATCCGCGGCAGGCTGCGCTCCTTTCGACCCCCGGCCTGGTTTTCCTGACACACCGGCAGAAAGAGGCACTCGGCGGCACTCGACGGCACTTGAGCGGCCCGCGAGTTGCTCCAGTTTTGTCCAGGTAAAACGCTCGACGCGGGCCTTTGTGCGCGACAGCCGTCGGCTCTATTATGTGCGCGCGCGGCGTGCGGCTGTCGGGAAATAGACGGTAAAACGCATTGTGCGCGCGCGCCTATTATTAGCGAGTCAGTGCTGCCTTGGCTGGTCGTCTGGCCGCACGATTATCGGATTTCGTCGAAGCCAAATGCGCGCGTTAACGAGAAAGCTAACGAGACGTAATCCAGCGCGCTATTTTCTCTAAAAACACTTTCTCCGACGTGCGTGCAGACTGCCGGAGAGACCCTCCCGGCTGCGCATCCTGCGCGCCGCATCCTGGCGCCTGCCTCCTCCCCAAATATTTGTCCAGATTTTCCCGCGGCCGGGCGCGGGGCCTCGGTCCTAAAATAATGCGCGTCTGCGTGGCCGCCCTCGCTGCCTCGCTCTGCACGTGCACCCCACGACCGAGCGGGCCGCGAGGGCGACTCGCGCCCCGAGCCCCCGGCCGCCGCGCCGCCGCGAGAGCGCGAGGGCCAGCGCGCGGGCGTGGACGAGCGGCGCGGCGGGCCAATGGGCCGGCGCCGCGCCGGCCCGACGGCGGCCAATGGCGGGCGGCCGAGGGCAGGCCACGCCCCGGCCAATGGGGAGCCGCGCCGCGGCCCGGCGCTCCCCGCCCGCGACCCGCGCCGGCGACGCCGCGCTCGGCCCCCGGCTCAGCCGGCCCGCCAGCCCGCCAGCCCGCCAGTCGGCCAGCCAGCCAGCCAGCCAGCCAGCCAGGCAGCCCGCCAGTCGGCCAGCCAGCCGGCCAGTCAGTCAGTCAGTCGCTCGGCTCGGACGCGTGTGCGCGCAGCCTCGCACGTCGCTCCGTCGCTCCCGCAGCCGCGTCCCCCGGCTCGCGCGTCCCGCGAGCCTCGACCTCCCGCCGCCGGCCGCCGGCCGCGGAGTGCGCGCCGCGGGCCCCCGCGACGACGCGGTGGCCCGCGCGTGGTGACCAGTGCGCGACAGCGCCGAGCCGGCGAGCGCCGGACCCGGGCGGCAGCGCGGCCAGCGCGGCTCCGCTCGGCTAAAATTAGGCGCGCGCGCGCGCGCCGCTCCGCAAATAGCCCGCGGCAGCGGCGCTCACTCGCGCCTGGGCGCGTGCCCGCGGCGAGCGCGAGGGCCGCCGCCGCGGCGGCCGGGCGGCATGGCCGCGGGCGCCGGGCCCGAGCCCCGTGGCCGGCCCAACTGAGCGCCGAGGGTCGCGCGCTCGCGCGCGCCCGGCCGCAGAGTGGCCGCGGACGAGATAGCTCGGCAGCTGCGCCTGCGGGGCAATGAGGTGATGATGGCCTACGGGGGAGCCGGCGCGGCCGCGATGGGAGCCCCCGCGCCCGGCGACGTGGTCCAGCAGCAGCACCAGCACCAGCCGCCGCAGCACCAGCAGCAGCAGGCCGAGTACAGCCCGCAGGGCACGCCGGCCGCGCAGGCCGCCGTCGAGTCGCAGGCCTTCCACGCCGGCGCGCAGGGCGGCTACAGTCCCCAGGACAGCCCGGCCACGAGCTTCGGCTTCACGCAGGAGCAGGTCGCCTGCGTCTGCGAGGTACTTGCACGCCTTTCGCTCCTCCCGTGCGGCCTCGGTCGCCCGGCTGGCGTCGCTCGTCAATTATCCCGTTTATCGCCACCTCGCGGCCGTCTCTCTCGCTCGCGCGCGTTCGCGCAGTGTCGCTGGCTGTTTGTGTCCGCGTGCGGAATTTGCATGCTCGTCAGAGACGCGACGGCGCCGTTTTTAATTGATGTACGCGGAACTTTCGCGCGATCAATTGACGTTGCGCGCGCGCGCGCGCGTCAAGTGCCGTTAGCTTAGCGCTCGGCGTCGTTGCTCGCGCTGGCTGCCGCGCGTCCGACGGCAGCCGTCGCGGGAGGCCACCGACAAACGGCCGAACGCGCAAAGCAGCGCGCGACAGGGCCGCAGTCGCGCAACGAGCGCCGGCAAAAGTGCGGCTCGGGCGCGCGCGCTAGTCTGCTAAAAACAGCCGGCGAACTTTACGACGTATAGGATTTCCAAATATTGACGCGCGCGCTCTCTTCGAAAAAGCTCCGGCTGGCGCGCGAAGCAGTTTAAAATAGCGGCGCCGCCTGCCCGCACGGCTGCCTTCTCGCCTTCTCGCCTTCTCGCCTTCTCGCCTTCTCGCCTTCTCGACTTCTCGCCTCCGCGCTGCCCTGTGCCTGTGCACGCCGCAGCTGCGTGCGCCCACGCGGCGTCCCGAGCGAAGGAGGCAGCGCCAGGGGGCTGGCGCGCGCCGCGTACGGCTGAGGACGACGAGCTGCGCTCTTTGGCCCCGTCACGCCGGGCCCGGCCGCCGCCTCGGGCGGGCCGAGCCCGGCGCGACGCGGGGGCTAGTTGTCTTGTATGCGAGAGTCGCGCCTTCGCTCGACTCGGGCGCCAGCGACCGCCGGAGCACGCGCGTCCCCTCCGCTGGCTCGCCTCTCTCGCGGCGCCGAGCGACCGCCGCTACAAGATACACTAGTGACTAAAAGCATAAAGGAGAGCGTGGTGATGAGTCAAGCCGACTAACAGTGTGCCCCCCGTGTCCTGTCGTCTATCAACAGACGATGGTGTCGTCTGTGCAGGTGCTGCAGCAGGCGGGCAGCGTGGACCGCCTGGCGCGCTTCCTCTGGTCGCTGCCCGAGTGCGCGCGGCTGCGCAAGAACGAGAGCGTGCTCAAGGCCCAGGCGGTGGTCGCCTTCCACCACGGCAAGTTCAAGGAACTCTACCAGATCCTCGAGAGCAACAACTTCAGCTCGCACAACCACGGCAAGCTGCAGTCGCTCTGGCTCAAGGCCCACTACATCGAGGCGGAGCGCATGCGCGGCAGGCCGCTCGGCGCCGTCGGTTAGTCCCGCGCCCCGAGGGCCCCGAGCCGGCCGCTCTGACCGGAGCTCTGCCCGCAGGTAAATACCGGGTGCGCCGCAAGTTCCCGCTGCCCAGGACCATCTGGGACGGCGAGGAGACGTCCTACTGCTTCAAGGAGAAGTCGCGGCTCGTGCTGCGCAAGTGGTACGAGGCCAACCCCTACCCGTCGCCGCGGGAGAAGCAGGAGCTGGCCGAGACCACGGGCCTGACCACCACGCAAGTTAGCAACTGGTTCAAGAACCGGCGCCAGCGCGACCGCGCCTCCGAGCACAAGTGAGTTCCGCTCCGGCTCCGTCCGCCGCGCCGCGTAGGCTTCGGTTGCGGCGAAGGTCGTTGCTCCAGATCCGATTTTAGATGCTGCGAGGCTCGCGCGCGCAGCGCCTCTCCCACGGCGACGGCGGCGGCGGCTCCTCCTCGCCCCTCTCTGCGCCACCTGCAGCGCAGTGGCTCCGTCGCTCGCTCACCGCAGCCGCGTGGCGAGGAAGTGGGAAGCACCGCCGTGGACGCGGACGAGCCGCGCCGCGGGCTCCGTGTATCCAGTTTCCTCGTGGTTCGTTCGCCGTTCGTTCCCACAGGCAGGGCCGTCGGCCCGAGCGCCGCTGCTGGCTGGCCGGGCCATCGGCGAATCGTCGCGCGGCGACCAGTCGACCGGTCCGCGCTTCCGGATTATAGTTCGCGCGCGGTAATCCCGCGAGGGACGTACCTGCGGCCGCAGCTCGCTCTCGTTGCACCTCCGGGCTCGTTGCTCTTCGTCGTGTCCACGTGAATTACGAGTACTTGGCTAATTGCCGGGCGAAGTGCGGCCAAGGAGCGAAGGGCGTTCGAGAGAGGAAGAAGCGGAGCCGCCGCGCGGCGACTGGTCTCCGGGGATCGGGGGCGTTCGCGCGAGTGGGCGTCTGCCCAAGCGAGAGAGAGAAAACGAGAGATAGATCGAGAAGAGAAGCATATGCCGACGCGTGAAATCCCGGCGGCACGATTATCGCGAGCCGCGTCTGTCGATTAGGCGCATTCTTCGCCGCGCCTCTGTTCCTCGCGTCGCCTCGTCGCGCCAACGGCTCGTTCCTCTTTTCTTTGGCTTGTCGTCGTCGCAATACAATGCTTTCCGAAATAGCAGCATCTTTGCGCCGCGGAGTCACGTTCGGTCGAGTTCGTCGTTATTTTCCGAGCGCGCGCTCGTCGGGCACGCGCAGCTCGGCCGCGCGATCGGCGTCTGTCTCTCCGTCCCGCTCTCGCTGCACGCGGAGCGAGCTCTCCGTGCGCCGCGCAGCTGCAGATAAGGCGGGCACGACGAGCCGACTCGAGGCTGCCTACCATCAGATCAGCTCTTTCCGCGTAATCCACGCTCGCTAACTTTCCGTTCTGCGCGAGATAAGCTCGCGCTCGTTGCGCTTCGCCTCCTTTGCATGGCTCGGACCAGCCAGCCAGCTCCAGCTCCTTCGGCGGCCAGCGACTGGAGGCAGTTGCTCGCTTACAATATTCGCTCGTACGCGGCGCCAGCCGACCACGTAGCTCGCCCCGATCGGCCAGCTTGATTCGTTCGACCCAACGGACTCGGTGATTTTCGGGCAAACGCAGGGGGGCGCAAGCGAGAAAGTGGCGCGGGCAGCGATGGGCAAATAGAGCGCCGCAGTCCATTAGTTTAAGTAGTTTGGCTAGAAGCCGCGGAAGGGCACCGAAGGACAGAGGATAGCCGCTCGCGCAAACACAACGTGGTGGCTAATGTAGGTCTGCAAGGTTCGCGGGGGGCTGCGCGATCGCTCGGCGCGTCGCGGCCACGCGTTTGCCGCTGCGAGCCTATTTCCGAGCGATCGCGAGCCGCGCACACCCGAACCCAGCCCCCTCGCGCGGAATGATCGAGCGACTGCTGGACGCCAGAGCCGCGCGCCTCCCTCTCCCTCCGGCGTTCCTTCTCGAGCGATACCGCCGCGACGAAGCGCTGACTCGTCGCCGTCGAACGCTTATCGCGGCGGCGCTTCGGCGAAACGACGCTGCGTCGACGCGGCATTCCTCGCGACGCGGACCGCGCCGAGGGCGCAAGCTCAATATTTGCCGACGCGCGACTTCCGGAAGAAGGCTTTCGGGCCGCGACGTACGGTCGGAGGGCGCGCGAGCGCGGCGACAGCGGAAGCCCGAGGCCGAGTGCCGAGAGCCGGGAGCCGGGGATGGCTGCGCCAATATTGACTCTGTCTGGGATGGTCCTCGAGCGAGCTCGGCGGACGGTGCAGGGGCGCAGGGGCGCAGGGGCGCAGGGACGCAGGGGCGAGGGGTGGCGCTTGCTCTCTGCCCTCGCCCCTCTCTGGCGCGCCGAACTGCCTGCAGCGTCCATGGCGGCGGCCTGTCGGCCTGATTGTCGGCCGCCGAGCGGAAACGCGACAATGGCCGCGCGCAGCCGTCGCCATGGCATCGCCCCGACGCGCCTCGGCCCGGGCCGACGGGCCGCGATCGCCTCCGAGGAAGGGCCGCGCCGGGCCCCGCCACGTTCGGGCCGCCGGGCCTCCGCTCCCTTGGATAGCGAGAGCCCGTCACGCGTTGACAGGCCGTCGGCGGGAAGGCGCGCGCGCCCGCACAATCAGAGCCATTCTCTGCCTTCTCCCTTTCTCGGCCGACGAGAGGCGAGAGGAAGAAGACGGGGCCGGGGACGGGGCAGGGGACGGCCAGAGAAAGGAAGGAGCGAGGTCGCGGCCGGGGGAGGGAGAGGGGCCCTTTCATTCATGCGCGCTCGTTCTCGGAACGTGGCCCGCGCTGTCGCGCGCGCTGCTCGGCTTTGATATCGCGTCTCGCCCCACGAGCATTCGTCTGACCGTGTATGGAGCTGGACGGGCCGCCCGGAAAGGCCGCTTCGGGGAATCTCGTTCGCTCTCCCGTTTCGGCTGAGAGTCGGTCGGAGCTGGCGAGGAGCCGCTGCTCCTGAGCCGGACGAGGCGCGCTCCTCGCAGGCTGCGTCCCGACTGCGGGCGCGCAGTGGACTCGTCGGAGCGCGCTTAAATAGCCTGCGAGACGCGCGCCCGCGATGCTTGCGCGTTCGAGTTACGTAATGGAGCCATTAATATCAGTGGCAATTAGGTGTGCCCGAGGCTGTCCGGGCCGAGGGTTCCGCGCAGACCCGTCGCGGCTCTCGCGCTCGCGTCTCGCGCCCGGCGCGGAGCTTGCGGCCCCCTCGCGCCCTCGCGCCCTCGCTCCGGCAAAGGGCTTTCGCCGATGCGCGCCTGTCCGTAGTTCTGATCGATGCTCGCCGACGGCCGCGCGCAATAATTGGAGGCGGTCTTGGAGCGTGCTATCGGCTTACCAGCGCCCTGCTCCTGCGTAAATGCGACGAGCCAGGGATCGATCGGATCTCGGCTCTCTTTTGGATTCGCCGACAGCGCCGACAATGCAGACAACGCCGACAATGGCGCAGGAACGAGCAACAATGAGCAGCAATGAGCAACAATGAGCAACAATGAGCCTGGCAGTGGGGCAGGCCATAGCCAGGCTCATTCGTGCCTATTTAACTTGCTGAAAAGACTCGCGGATCGCTGCTTCTCGATGGCCCCTTTCTGGCCAGCCCAATTTGCTCCAGTCTGGCGCTTCTGCTCCGACGCCGAGGCAGCGAAAAAAGAGCAGCCACGGTTCGGCCGGATTTCGGGGCTTCGCCCTGGGTGGCACTCGCGCGCACTGCGCTCGCCCCTCCCCCTCTTTCCCGCTGCCCTTTTCTTCTACGTCCTCTCGCCCTCGTCCTTTCTCGACTCGAGCGTTCGCGTTCGACCGAGCCAAATCCCTTTACCGGCGCTCCCGCTTCATTCGATAATCGATAATCGATGATCGACGATCGCCAAGCGCATCGCCATAGTCGGCTTGCCAGTTTTTCCCGTTTCCTCGCGGCCGGCAGTTTGCGGCGCGGACCGCTCGCAAAGTCTCGACTTCTATTAGCATTTCGCGCCACAGCTAAACAGCGGAGAGGATGCTGACACACGATGGATAGACGCCGGGCAGTCGGGCAGTCGGGCCACTGGCAGCGCAGCGGCGGCGTCGGCCGCGTAATCCGGATCAGCGAGTCGCGCAACACCGAAAGCGTTTTAAACTACCTTGACGAGCGCCACTAAACTAATTTAGTGGCCCATCGAGACAGTAAGCGCGATTTGTCCGAGCCGTGCTCGGGCCTTTTTTTCGGCGTGACGTGTAGCTACACGGGTCGCGCCGCGCGCGAGCGCGATGAAGATAAGCAAAGCGACTCCTTTTCGCTGACTTGTCAAATTTACCTCTTAATCCGCCGAGGCCGCGCTCTCTCTCTCTCTCTCTCTCTCTCTCTCTCTCTCTCTCTCTCTCTCTCTCTCTGTCTCTCTCTCCCCGCTCGGATCGAATTGGGGTGGCGCGAGCTTTTGCCTCCAGGGCCTTTTACGCCTTTCGGGCCCCCGCAAGCCGATTATAAACTTATCTCGCAGCGCTGTGAATGCTTCCTCGGCGTTTATAGCTCGCGCTGCCTCCCTTTCGTGGCTTTTTCGATTTCTTTATCGGAGAGCAGCTTGGCCGTGAGTGATTTTCGGAAATTCGATTTTATTGACAGGAACACGAGCACATTATTAAAAGGATCGCTCCGAATGTTCCTTTATTCCTCTCTGTCCTCCGTCCCGACTTCGCTGGATTGCTTTCGCCCTTTAAAACATGGTTCTGGTAGCGATGTTTCACGCTCTTTCCCAGCCTACCTTCTCTTCGTTACCAAACCAAGGCACTTTAGTCTTGACCGGTTTTCGTTGCGTCATCAAGACAAGTGCGCTCAAGACAATAGCGCTCACTGGCCGCCAATCGACTGTCGGCTGGCTGGCTGGCTCGCCGGCCGGCCGGGAAATTCAAACGCAAATTCAGCCTCGGCGTCGAATCGTATCGCGCGTCGGGAATAGGCGCAGCTGCTCCACTGACTAGTCTCGCGGCCTCGCGAAAACCCGAGTCGAACTTGCGCAAGGAGTAGGCCACGGAAGGGGAAGTAGAGCCAGCATCAGAAGCTGTGAACGAGGAGAGCAAAAGTCGCCTCGTCATTATCGGCGTCGTTTGCCATATACCTGATGTTCTTGGTTGCTCGCCGCGGGTGGCTTTCGGTCTCGTATCCGCACCGTTTCGAGGGGGTTCCAGGGGGTTCGAGGAGGTTTCCAGGGGGTTGGCAAACAGCCCAACAGTCGACGCTGACCGCCGCGCCCTTTTCCCCATTATTTGAAGAGGCCTGAATTTTCTCGTGCGTCTCTGCTTATAGAATCAGCTGTCGGCTACTTGGCTTCTCTTTTGGAATATCACCTGCCGGCGGTGCGTGCGTGTGTGCGTGCGCGCGGGGGGTAAACAAAGACGACGTGTGTTGGCCGATGCTGCGAGCCTCGTTTCCGTGCCTCCACGTCCAAAGAGTGCCCGCGCCACTGAATCACTCAAAGATCAGCTCATCAAAGAGCAGCTGCGTGGGAGGCTTCGGACCATCGACACTGGTCCATGTGTGGCGCGGTCGCTGTGCATTAATTGCCGGTTAATTGCCAGCGCGCTCACGAAAAAAAGAGCAGGTCGCGCGCGTTGCGATCTCGGCTCTCTCGGTCTAATAATATTGCCTAGATCGCTGGCTTCCTTCTCGTAGGCGAGGGGAGGTGTGACGAGAATAGGCCACGATCTTTTTCCTTTCTCTCTGTTCGCTGGCGATAAATCGCTCGTTGCGCCTACGTGTATAAATACGCGACGCCCCCGAAATTCCACCGCGAGCAGCGTCAGTCGCACATCGCGCGTGGACCGGCAGAAGATGAGCAGCGTCTTTCTCTCTCTCTCTCTCTCTCTGACAATTTATCCGAAAGTAACAATGTTTATCGAGGCGTCGATCGCGAAAGCCCTCCCGTGGCTTTCCTATCTCGTCGCCACTATCTTTCCCGAAACACGGTCTTTTTATGCAGCGTGGTTGCCTTGCGCGCGCGAAAGAGAGGCGCTATCGAAGGCTGCTCAGACGGAGAAACAAGACGAGCGCGCGCGCGCGCGCGCGCCAGAGAGAGAGAGAGAGAGGCCAGCGATATTTTCCTGTCGTCCGCCTCGGTTCTTGTTCTCTCGGCGGCTCTCCTTCGCGTGGTCGTCGTCGATGGGGCCACCCGCTGCATCCACGTCCCGGGCCTATAAACCGAAAGAGGTGTCTCCCAGGTATGCCTTATCTGCTCGCCATCAGCCCGTAAATTTTCTAGCTGTTGCCTCGCGCACGCGCGCGCGCGACACACTCCAGTCTTTATACGCACGTCCGATTAGTTTCGTTAGGATTCGGCCCGACTCGTCATCGCTTGTGCACACCACTACCGTTTGCAGTTCTTTCTAGTTGTTTCTTTCTCGTGCTCGTGCTCGTGGAAATAATTGCGATTGTTCCGCCTCGTCAAGTTTCTCAAGTTTTCGCCGCGCAGAAAAGACTCCGCGTCGAACCATCGCGCGCGTAAAGCTGCGGTGCTTCCAAGCCGGTGCCCGACATGCGCGCACATGCTCGACGATATCGCTCGAAAGTACATTTTTCGGGAAAATTCGGCTTTTCCGTGCGCGTGCATGGGATCGCTCATCTCTCGCACGGGATCGTTATCTGCGAGGATCAAGTTGGACCGCGAATTAGTCGGAATCGGCCGTACGGTTATACGGCTATACGGCGATAGCATCGCTCTGCGCCTCGAATTTATCGAGGAAATTAAATTAGGAATCATGCAAACGGCGACCAGTTTGACGCGTTTTACGAAAAAAAAAAAAAAATAAATAAAAAAAAATAAAAAAAAAATGATAAAAAAACATAATAATAATAATAAAAAAAGCCGAAGCAAGGAGGAACGTGGCTGTTTGTCGTTCGTCTTGTTACACGCGTGCTTAACGAGTGGCCCGTTTTGCGGTGCACGACTAATTGCTCGCCGATTATGCAGAGGAAAAAATAGACTTTTGGCAAGAATTGCTGGACGATCAAGGCCTCCGAACGATCGCGCGATGCTTATCTCGTCGCGAATTGCAGCCTTCAGGTCGGATGTATTTATCATCGTAGCCGAAGCAAAAAACGGCAAGAATTATTCAAGAATTTACAGACTGACGTAGGCTCGTGCTGGCAACACGTGTAAATCTCGTTGTCCCATCATTGTCGCTTACGGGTGGTACCTTTCGACCGTTTGGAGCGCGCGCCGCACCTACCACGTGCGCTTTATAGGTCGCGCGAGCGTCTCGCGGAAATAACTCTTCCGACGCGCAGGCTCGCTCTTTTTCCTCTCTTATTGTCGAGGGCCAGGGGGGATTTATCGCGAGCGCGACGCATTGTAATTTCGTCTATAATTCTCGTCTGTTCCTCTTATCGGCTCGATCGACGCCTGATCGCCGTAAATCTCGACGACTCCTAAAATTTCCAGGCGCGCAAAAAACCAGAGAAGAAGAAATAGAAAGCGCTCGGCCGTAAATCAATCCGAGTCACACCTCGGCGTGCGATCGCCCGGCTGCCGAACAGCTGAACGAACAAGCGCTGCGACGGAGCGTCGGCAGCTTATCGAACACTAGCTTTGCCTGCACTTGCTCACCGTGGGAATACTCGTAATTGAAACGTTCGCCGTCACATAATTTTCTGCTTCTAATCGACTGGTTCCGACCGACCCGCCGTCCGCTTCTTTTCCAACATTCCGATGAACGCACCGTCGCGTCGGTGGGCCGAGATCCCACCAGCGGCCCCGATCGCAGTACGCAGCTCGTCTGCGCGCCGGGCCCATCCAGTGTCGGATAGGTAACTCGATCGCGCGGTTCGCCCTGTTCGCAGCGGCCAAAAGGGCGACAAGTGCCACGGCGGCGACCCGGGCGACTCCAGCTACGAGAGCGGCGACGAGACCAAGCGCCAGAGCGGAGCGCCGGTGGCCGCGGCGGCAGGCGTGCAGCAGCAGTCCGCGGCGGCGCCCGGCGTGCAGCAGCAGCAGCAGCAGCAGCCGCAGCAGCCGCAGCCGCAGCCGCAGCTGGTCGAGCAGCACCAGCAGCAGGCTCCGAGCATGTACCAGCTGCCCGGGCAGCTCGCCTCGCCGAGTCCGCACTCCTACCACCAGGGCCTCGCTCACGCCAGCCACCACATGCAACAGCCGCAGCAGCAGCAGCAGCAGCAGCAGCAGCACGAGGCCGGCGCCGAGGGCGTCGACGACAAGCGCAACCTGCACCATCAGCTGCAGCACCAGCTGCAGGCCGGTCTGGCGCCGCCCGCCGCCTCGAGCTGCGCCCAGCAGAAGAGCCAGCTCGACTACATGCAGTACTACGGCTCGCAGGTGAGTGGCGCGCGCGCCGCCAGCGCCCGGCCGAGCAGCCGAGTACAGGCAGCCGTTGGCTTTGCGCAGGACTACCTGATCGGCACGCCGAGCCCGGCCGAGCTGCAGAAGGCGCTGCCGCACACGGCCACCTCCATGCAGATGGGCGCGATCGCCCCGGCGATGGGCGGCCTCAGCCCCATGGGCCCGTCGATGATGCCCGCGGCGGCGATGCAGGGCGTGGGCCACGCCATGAACGGCATGTCGGCCATGGGCGGCGTGGGCATGGGCGCCTACCAGGGCATGGCCGGCTCGATGGGCATGTCGGGCTCGCACGCCGGCTACCACGGCGCCAGCCTGGTCCTCGGCGAGTACCACTCCTTGTGACCTTGGCCCGCAGCCGGCGCCCGGCAGCGCGCCAAGCAGCAGCAGCAGCTCGCCGACTACCGCCAGCACCGGCTCCCGCACTTCCAGCAGCCGCAGCCGCAGACGCAGCAACAGCCGCAGCCGCAGCAGCAGCGGCAGCAGCAGCAGCAGCAGCAGCAACAGCAGCAGCAGCACCACCACCATCACCACCACCACCACCACTCCTGGGACTCGGCCGCCTGCGCCGGGCGCCAGCAGCTCGACGCGCAGCCGGCCGGCAAGCCGCTGACTATCGTTCAGGCGCGCATTTACTGCCTCGAGTAGCCGCTGCCGCTGGCCTCGGCGGCTCCATAGTTACCTCTTGCCACGTCCAGTCTTTCCTTTGCCTCCCGGAGAGCGAGTCTGCGCAGCGCCTGCTCGCCGCCAGCAGCCTTTCTGTCGCTGACGCTTGTCCTTCTTGTACATGTATGTAGATAGCACGGAATCTGTGTAAACGACTCGATCGACAGGCTCGCGACCTTACGATCGCTATTCAAATACTAGTGGATACGCGCTACGGAATGGAGATGATTATTGTACAAGTTTGTAAGAGGAGAAGCTCGGAACACACATATGCGTACACGCCCACAGTCAGCCAGTCACGCGTCTGCTGCTCTTGCGAAACAGACGCGGCCTATTCAGATCAGCACTTCTTTTTCTCTTTCTCCAAAGCTTATTTTTAAAAACTTGGAATTTTTTGCTTTTATACAGCTCGTTCGCACATGAAGCACAAAAATATTCTTTTCCTCTCTCTCTCTCTCTCTCTCAATGGCTATGCGGCAGTCTCGGCTATCCCAGTGCTCAAATGACAATTGTCAAGCAACGTACAAAAGTTCGGTTTGAAATAATCGAGGCTGCTCGTCTTCCTCCGCTGTGGGCCTGACATACGACAGCGACACTTTGCGAAATGTAGGCGATGCCGCGATGACGTCTGTTCTCCTCAACTGTACATAGTATCGTAGATTTTAAGTGAACACGAGAGATGACGAAGACGGGCCGGCATCGACATCGCGCGAACAAACAATTAACCAGTAATAATTAGTCGATAATTAAGAGAAGCTTACGTTGCAAATACAATGAATAATGGAGTTGAACGGAAAAAGGGAGAGGAGAAAGAGCCGAAATACGCAAGACGAGTGAAAGATGGTGTTGGTTGCACGTTCAACGAGGCGACGAGAGAACCGCCGGCCTCATCGACTCTTTGGCAGAACGCGCCAACTGGGTTATGTATGCCCCCCCCTCTCCCCACCTCCCTCTCACTCTCTCTTTCTCTCTCGCTGTCCGGTCGTGGTGAAGCGAGCAACGATGCAAGTAATGTCCGATGCGGAACGGCCGAGACGCTATAAACATCCAAACGACCATTTCTCCTTTGGCTTTTTAACAAAAATGGTCCATTGTCTCACCTTCGCCAGAGTCGCTGCTTCTGCTTTTTTCAGAATTAGATCAAACGGAAAATTATCTCTTGGAGGATATGTGAAGCGACCAGTACAGCATCATCAAAAACGGTTTGGAACGAGAGAGAACGAGAGAGAGAGAGAGAGAGAGAGAGAGAGAGAGAGAGAGAGAGAGAGAGAGAGAGAGAGAGAATTCTAAAAATAGTATGTTCGCTAATCCCTTGCGATGTTTCAATTCGAAACACACGATTCAATGTGATTCGAGTGACAGTTGTGATTATTGTTCACTAAACTATGTTGATTGTAGTATTTCTTTTTTCTACTCTCCTTTTTTTGTTCTCGATAAATGAGACAGGAAGACGGAAAAAGTAACATTTATAACGTACTCATGATTTCCTATTCACTATTTTTTGTTGTTTTTTCTTTTTCTTTTTTTTTTGTTTTGTTTTGTTGCAATGACATTTTTTCCTTGCGTCTGAATAATCTCACACGCACAATGTAATAACCGGCAGACTGATGAGTGAAACCACTTATGTTATATGCAAATATTGCTTTTTTTAAAACTGTATTACAACACACACACACACAGCTACATTCCGATGACTCGGCCTTTTGCAATTGTCGACAGGCCTAGTTTATTACTACTATTCTCTCGCAAGTGGAGGTAATTCAAAGTAAATTAATTGGCTTTGCATTTTTTATTTTCTTTGCACAGCGATATAATTCAGCTTAAATGAGATAAAGCGTTGTACTAGATGTGGACACTTTTTCTACCTTTGATATTGACCTGTTTTTTACTTATCGCGCGCTATTCTACATTAGGTTGCAACATACTATCCAAAGTTTTGATTTGAAGGTGATAATATAATTAACAATCAATTGTAAATTGATGATATTTTTGAAAAGATTTTTCTAATCAACGGTAACTCATCGCCACAAACAATGGTCTTTAGCAGAGCAATAAAAATTGTCCAAATCTACAATAATATAATAGATACAGGCGACGTACAACGTTGCGAAAATTCTATCGACCAAAACATCTGCGAAAGAGACAAAATAAAGGCATAATCCACTTTCAGAGAAACAAGACTGCCGTAAATGTACAAGCAGTGCCAGAAAATGTGCGTAGTCGAATAAAAATGGAAACCAAATTGATGAAACGGGAAAAGATGAAAATTCGCGTGACGTTATTGCGCCTGTACACGTTTGGTTGTCATTGGAATTTGATTGTAAGCAAGGGGAACGGAAAGAAGGCGCATTCGTGAAAGAAAAAAAGACGGGATTTTGATTTGTTGGGTAGAGAGACGAAAACGAAAAGGTGAAATAGCTGAGACAAAAGAAGTAAGAAGTAACGTAAAAAAACTATACTCTACGACTCTTGCACAAAGCGACATACGAGTCACGCGCGCAATTGTTGCGTCTTTAGAGATTACACATAGAATGCGATATATTATATTATACATAAATGAATATAGAAGCTACAGTATAGGTCGTACGTAGTGCGCGAGCACACGATTAAAAGAGGGAAGGGAAGAGGCGAGCGCGCGACGTCGGGCGTCGCCTGGTGTGTGTATAGGAAAAAAGAAAGTTGAAAGAGGTTCGAAGCGGTCGTTAGAGAAGGGCGATCTGATCTCGTGTACTCAACAGCCCAACATTAGGATGCACAATATTTATTGAGAAAAACCGAGTCTGCGCTTGCGAGCCAGATTCGCAGTGACGACCTAAGATTGTATCGAGTAAGAGTTGATGTTATTTAAATTAATAAAAAGAAGTATCGTGCAACGCCGAATAAGAGATGAAAAGCAAGACACTTGTTGTCATTCACTGATGCCTTCCCTACAACGATTCGATAAACGGAAGAAAGGGAGCAAGGGAGCGAGGGAGCAAGGGAGCAAGGGAGCAGGGAGCAAGGGAGCAAGGAAGGAAGAAGACAAGGAGCGTCGGCGATGGTTATCGGTGTCGCGGGCAGCCTTCGCGGAGCCATCGCTGGCCGTGGGGATGCTCATTCGGGCGGACACACCAGAGGCGCATCTGCCGCACCGCGAGACGCGGCCCTTTGTTGGGCCCGAGCGACCTTGTTGCCTCGTCCGGGCAGATCGCAAGCTCGCGCGTCGACTCCGTCTCGGTGCGATCGGCAAGGCGCTCCACGGGCGCTCCACGGGCGCTCCACGGGCGCTCCACGGGCGCTCCACGGGCGCTCCACCGGCCATTGTGCTGGCGCCCCTCTCCGGCTACTTGTTGCCCTCGACTGCTGCTGGCGCCGGATCACGCGCTTTTCACGGCTCGTTGTCGCTCATCCTCTTTTCTATTCTCCGCAGCTTTGTCAGCATAACAACAAGGCGCCACTCGACTGCAGGTGGGGGCCGCTGCAGCCGCGGCTCGTGGGAGGGCAGAAGCCGAAATAGGCACTCGAAAGCGGGCCGAGCGGGGCGAGCGCTCGTCGCGTGGAAGCGCTAACGCAGAGTGTGCCAGGGAGTTTTGAAAAGCGGAGAGGCTGAGCAGATTGCCGCTGGCGCTCGACCGCCAAGAGTCAACAAAGGAGCCCAGTGCAAAACAAGATCCGAGCGCGAAGCTTATCGGAAATTGTTTAGTCTGTCTATGCGCGAGATAAGAAGTCGCGCATAATAAGCCGCTCGCCGAGGCAGGAATGCTCGAGCCGTGCCGTGTCAGAAGGCGCTCGTCAAAAGGCTTTTCCAGGAAGCAGCGCGAGCGACAAATTTTTTATAGCCTCGCGCGCGCAGACCAACGCAGAGACCGACGCCGAGAGAGAAGGGGAGAGGCGCTATCGCGATGCCGCGATGCCGCGCTGCTTTCCTGGGAGGCGACGCCGTGGGCTCGCCACGGAATTTAAATTTCGCAAATTAGTCCGTCCATTACAGGCCTTGGGCGCGCAATCGCTCGCGCTCATCTGGCCTACGTGCGGCGCGCTCCGCAATTTTTCGCCGTTTTCTCCGATTAGTCCTTGGCCCGGCAGCGCTCGATCTGCCCGTCCGAGCAGATCTGGAGGCGAGCGGCCCAGCGAGCCATTGATTCGCCGAGATTCGCGCGCGCGCCGACGTTCTCGGAAAGCGTGGGCGAGGATCTGGGCCCACAAATCATAACGAGATTTCAGCGCGAGATGCTCGCGGCCCTCCGCGCGCCTATCCTTTCTTTTTGCTTCTGCTCGCTTGTTTTCGTGCTGCGTGCTGCTGCGGAGGTGCTGCTGCTGCTGCTGCTGCTGCTGCTGCTGCCGCCGCCGCCGCCGCCACCGCGCTCGACAAATCGTCTCTCCTGGCGCATGCGTCCTCTCGTTTTTCGGGGCCGATAGCATCGCCGCAGCAGGCCTGCGATCAAACTGCACATCTGTTGGCCGACCCGTTGACGACGCGGCTCCTCGCGGTCATCGGCCGATCGAACGACAACTCGCAGATTAATCAGTAGCGCGCTTCGAGGCTCGCGAGGCTTCCGCGGACAAAGACATCCTGCACGCGCCGCACTTCCGCCGCGCTTCCGCCGCCAGTGCCCTACGAGGTCCCGATCGCGAACCAGGCGTTTCTCCGGAGAAGGGCGACGAGCGAAAGCGAGAGCGAGTTTCGGAGAGAAAAGGCCGGCTGGGCTTTGCATGCCCGTAGCCGCCCGTAGCTACCGCCGGCGAGGTTCCCGCTCGGTTTCAGCTATAAGGTAACCCGACACCAGCATCGCCCCTGCTCGCGCGCTCGCGCTCTCTCGCTCGCTCTCTCCTCTCGTTTTTGGCTGTCTATAGTACAAACCGAATCATAACCGTAGGCCGCGGCGCTACGACTGCGATAATCCTGACGGATTACGCTAAATTCGATTGTCGGGCGTGCATTAGGAGGCCGGCGGGGCCTCGCTCGGCGGTGGCTCGAATGAAACGAGAGCTGCCAAGGCGACCCATTAAAACGCAGGCGACTAATTATCGACCGATCGCAGCTCGCCAACCCAGCTCCGTAACCAAATCCCCGCGAATAATTGGAGCTCCGTTTCGCCTCGTCGCGAAAACGAGTCTCGCGTTTGCCAGTGATTCGAGTGCGGCTGCAGTGCGAAAAGACCAACAAGGCTGAACGACGAAAGGCGTGCCAGCAGCGCAAAGTAGCGTCGCTCGCGATCTGCTTGTCGAGTGATCGACAAGGGCGCTGCTCCAACACTCGATAAGAATCTTCGTGCGGATTATTTGTCGTTTGTCGACACACGGCCAGATAAGCATCTCGGCGAGAGCCGGCTGAGAGCAACCGAGAGAGAACGGTTGACGTTTATGAATCGAATTCTTACACCCTCGCGTCCGGCGCGCGGCCAGATAGACGACGACAACAGTCCTCCGGGGATGCGTATCGGCACGCCTAAGTGCACTTAACGTCCCGCGCGTTTACGGAACATTCGATTAGCCACTTGTTCTCGCGAATTCGCTCGGCAGCCAGCGAACGTCGGCGCGCCAGCCCTTTGTGCGGCCGCTGAGGAAAAAAAAGCGCAACGGAGCTGGGCATCTGCATGTTATTGTGTGCGGTGGCGCGCGCTCCAAGGCTCGCGACGCGAGAGCAAGAGGACGCGTTCGCTTGTCCCCCTCGGCGGGGCGGCGACCATTGGCTGGCTGTGAACGCCAATGGGGAAGCGGAGCGACGGCGCTCGCGGGGGGTTGGCTCGGCTCGCTTCGGCGACGGCGGTTTCGCGGCGCCCCGAGCGCCACTCGCGTCGGCGCGCGATCCTACCTGGGAGCCGCTCTCCTGGCTGTGCACGCCACGTCGACGCAAGCTCGGCGACCGGGGCGCAAAGCCGCCAGTCGCGAATCTGCGCCAACAACGCCGACCGGAGTGCACTGGCATCGCGACCGAGCGTCCGTCGGGCGCGCTGTGCATTATGTAAGTCGCAGCTAACGGTCGGTCGCTCCGTTCGCCTACTGGCGCTCATTCAAATTCGAGCTTTTAATTTCGCTTCGTAAATTTGTTTCGCGGACGCGCGCCGTCTCCGTCGACGAGGCTGCCGCGACACTCTGATGGCTCTTAATTGCAGCCGAGAGCGATTGCTCGCGCCGTAGGCCGTACGCCAGCTGCCGCTCGCGGCCACTGCAGTCCCGCAAGCGCGCGATCGACGGAGCTTGCGGCGCGCGCATCGGTCGCCGCTCGCGGCAGGCCGCTCAGCCGGCCAGCCGGCCGCGCGCCTTTATGCAGTTTAGCATGTGCGAGGCTTCGCGCGCGCGGCCGTCAATTGCGATTAATTGGAGCGCAGACTGACGGCGGACGCCGCACGCACGGACTCGAGAGCGCGGAGCGGCGGCGGCGGCTACGGGCGGCGGGCGGCGGGCGGCGGAGAGGCTTTAATGCCTTTTAACTTGCTCGCGGCTGCAACAACCCCAGCGCCGACTTCCTCCGCGGCAGCCAGGCCAGCAGACACTACACTCCTTTGTACTGCTGATGCTGCTGCTGCTGCTGCTGCTGCTGCTGCTGCGGCTGCTGATTATTCGCAATGGGCTTTATTGGTGCGGCCCGGCGAAAGCGACGCCTTGCGTAACCCCCTTCGCCGCCGAGCACTGACGCCAGTGCAGGAGCACGCGCCTCGGCACCAATAGCCGGCCAATTGCGACGCCAGTGGCACTGCCACAGCAGAGGTGCGCGATCGAGGAGGCTTGCGCCTTCGGAGAATCGCGGTGCGAGAGGCGCTGCGAGAGGCGGTTTTTCGGAAACAGCGGCCGCAGGCCATCTGCCGCGCGTGCGAATCCGCCTGAGTTATCGATCGGACTCGAGCCGCGCAGGTAGGACGCGCGCGCTTTTGGCTTCTGCCGCCTCGCGTGTATGCCTATTCCGCTACTCGACCGCCGCTACACGCGCCACCATTCGCCCGATTATTCCGTCAACTACTCGCCACGAGTGTCACGGGCTGTTGTGAGCGATCGATCATCTTTAATTAGAGCGACGAGCCGACCGAGTCGCGCCATTGCCGTTTCCCACGGCACGAGTGACAGGTAGGTCGATGCTCGCGCGTCGCCGTTAGATTTTTCGGAGCACGACGGCAGAGGGGAGGCGACCGGCCGATTCGCCAATTTACATGCGCGCTACTATAGCAACTAATTGCCCAGGCGGTTCGCCGCTGTCGCTGCAGCCACTAATTCGAGCACCCGCTTGTGTGCGCGGAGCCCGCGACGCAGCGCGCCCGTGCGATCGGCAGTCCTCGCTGCGTGCGGCCTTCTCAGATCGATTAGCTGGCGTAAAAGGGCGGCGATCGGTCAAAGCGACACTAAACTTGACAGTCCATTAGCAGCTGATTATAGAAGCGCGGCTGCAAGCAGCTCCCCGAGCTCTCCCGTCTCTCGTCTCCCGGCCGGAAACGGTCCGGCCGAGACGGCCGAGAGAGCGCGCAACGCTCGGCGGCGGCATCGAGAATTAATTAGCCTTTTATCGCAGGCACATTTCACGGCTCTCTCTCTCTCTCTCTCTCTCTCTCTCTCTCTCTCTCTCTCTCTTTCTCTCTCGCAATTTCGCGCTCGATTTTACGGCTGCGCAAAAAAGCCGAGGAGGATGCCCAGCGAGCGGCCTCCCTGCCAAATTAGTCAAGATTTACGAGCAGCAGGCCTCGTCCGGTTCTCTCGGGGCAGCGCTCGCCTGTCCGCTGTCTCGGCCGCGCGGAAAAGCTCGCGTTCGCACTGGCCGCCGTGGAAGCGCGCCCGAGAGCGGCTCTCGCCTTTCAACCGCAGCGCGACCGACGAAATTATCGGCGGCTAGACGAGCCACGCAACGCCGATTTCCTTCACGCTTCACCAAGCAGATCGACGAGCCCGAGCGCACGCCTCGTTCTCCCGCGTCTCCGCTTGCTCGCGCTCGCGCCCGCACTCGCGCCCGGCCGCGGTTGCCCCGCCAGTGGGGAAAAGCACCTCTCTCCCGTGCAAATCTGCAAAAGTGAACGCTGCCACGACGGACGTTTCCGACGGATCGAACCCACACCAATGACGTTTCAACGAACCAATAAGTAGCAACTGACCGATCGATTATTCTAGCCTATGAAGTAGCTATTTTGTCAAACAGGCATTTCAGGATGCACTCGTACTTCTAGATCGCTGCTTGTAATAGCTTTGTCGCCGGGAACTCACCAAAACCAAACAGCTTCAGCATGTCACCTCCGTGAACTTGTTTCAGAAGGATGATCGACCGATGCCGCATGTACATGGCATCGACGGCGCTAGGAAAGCAGCTATGCCTCGAAAACGCAAGGCGAGTAGCCGAAAAGATTTAAAGTTAGGCATAAAACGCGCGCCGGTGCATGCCGTAATAACATCGAGAAGTGGCAGCGGCAGCGGCGCGAGGGTGGACTAGACTCACTCGGAGGTTTATTAGAGGCCTCGCACGGCACAGGGCCTCTCCGCGAAAGATATTAAAGCGAGGCTGGCACGGCGCGCAAACACGAGAAAATAACGAGCGAGGGGCAGAGGCGAGGGGCAGGGGCGGGGCGCGGGGTAGAGACGAGGCGCGGCGCGGCGAGGCGAGACGAGACGAGGCGAGGCGAGGCGAGGCGAGGCAAGGCGCGGCGAGACGAGGCGAGGCGAGGCGAGGGATAGAGCCGAGCGAAGCAGGCAAGCAGGGCATCGCGAGCGAAAGAGAGCAAAAGGAGCGAGCGGCCGGCAGGAGGAACGGCTTCTGGCTCATTGGGCAGCCCAACAAATTCGTCGCGACGTGCGTCCGTGGATTACGCTTGCGTGCGCGTGTGCGTATATAACGTGCGCGTAGCCGCCAGTACATCCCGAAACTCGGCTCGTCCTCTCCCTTCGCTCTCGGTTTTTTATCTTGGACATCGGTCGAGCTTCCTTCTTAACGGCTGACCGGACACCCACCGCCGCGCGCACCCACCAGACGCGATCGGATCCGACGTACGCGCACCTTCGAAAAATCGAACAAACGCGCACGCCACCTTGCCGCTCCAGTTTGTCCTCGCCAAGTTTTCGGGCGCCCCTTCGCGTCCAGCGCAGAAAGCTCGGAAAGTCGGTTAATCGCGACGGATAAGGGCGCTCGGCCGCTCGCGTTTCCGGCTGGACGCCGCCCGTCCCGCCCTGGTCGCTGCTGCTCCTAGGCGACATCGCGGCGCCGCCTCGCGGCTCGCGCTGTTCTCTTGGTCGGCCGTCCGGACCGGACCCACCGCCGCGCTCGCGAGAGACAAAGCAGGTTTGCGCGCTGGCACGGGGCAACCGGAGAGCCTCTCCGGCCGGCCGCCCTCGCTCGTCTACTTACTGCCGATTTTCGGCGCAGCGGCAAACGGCTCGTCTTATTTGGCCGCACCGAGGACGGCGACGCTCCGATTACAGCCTAAAGTCGGAGCGTGCAGCCGACTGGAAGTCGCCAAGTTGCGTAGCCAACGACGAACGAGTGGAAAGGACCGACAGCCCGCCGATGTCCGGTGTGTGCCGCGGAGGCTCGCGACCGGAACTCGGAAGACAAACGGCGCGTTGTCGTCGGCTGCCGAGGAGCGAAGCCGGCTGGTGAACGAGCGTCGTTCGGCCCCGATCGCCGTCAGGCTGCAAAGCCCGCCGAGCGAATCGCCGAGTCCCAATCGAAATTTAAAAGGCTGGGCCCCGAATTGGCGATGCGCTCGGCCCGCGTGACCTGCTGCCGTGGTACGTACGCCAACAACGATGGTCGACGGAAAAGGAACGACAGAACGGCAGACAGATTTGCAGCTTGTGCTGGCGGTCGAGGGCACTGTCCGCGTGGAGGCAGCCGTGGAGGAAACGTAATCCGCGCGCGGAAAATCATTCGCCTGGCCTCGCTCTCCTTTCCTCTAACCGCGCTCTGCAGCCCAGCAACGAGCAGCGCCCGACCATCTCAAATGGAAGGCTATTTTATTGTCGCCTTGCTGCGCCACTAGTCTTTTTTATTTGCAGCCTCTTTTTCTACAGTCGGATGCCACTTCGCTCAGTCGTCGTCGTCGTCGTCGTCATCGCCGTCGCCGTCGCCCTCCTCCTCCTCGTCGCTGCAGCTGCATTTGAGCTCTCCGCAAATCGGGCATTTCGCAGGCCACATCGCGTTCATTCGTCTATCGAACTCGTCGATTTCCGCCAGCAGCTCCTCCGGGCTCGGGTCGTAATCGGCCAATTTCAAGCCCTCCCTGCGCCAACACACTTCGCAGTCCAGCTGCCCACCTCGACAACGCATCGCCTCGTTTACCTGAATATTTTCTCGTACGGGAGGTACTGACCGCACGGCCTCTTTCGTTTATCTTCGTTCTTTGCGGGCTTTTTAGGCTTTGGGCCTTTATTGCACAAGTGCGTCGGTGCTTTGCTGGCGGCGCGCCTGGATCCAGGGACAGCGCTCGAACCAACGTCAACCTCGCAACGTCTGCCTGGCTTTGCTTCGTCGCTCACTGTCTTACCAAATTGCAACGTTGAAAAACCTGATCACCGATTGTCGTTCATCAACTTACGTACTGCAGGCTCGTAAGCTGCCACTTTTTTTTCCTTATCCAGATACTGCCAAAGTTGCTTGCATTTTTCCTCTCTACCCGCATTTTTCGTTCTTACAAACTCAAGATTTGAAGGACCAACGCTGTTTCTTTTGCTGCCCATTATGCTTGACTAATTTTTCTCAAACTCTAACTTCACCTCACGGGACATGCATCAACTTCTCAATATCCCACGATATCTGATACGCCAAAAGCCTGTAGATGAGTTTTTGCTGCTTTTCGTTGTTGCCACCTTTGCCTCCAAATACAATCGTGAAGTACGCTTCCAATACCAACAAAGAAAAACAAAGAAAAAACAAGAAATACGCTTCTGCCATTTGCATTAAATTATTTCGATTAGTACGTACATCAAGTTCAAAGAAAATAATTATATAGCTTTTATTTGATTACAAACTAATTGAATGAAATCTAATCGGCAACGACAGAAGATAATAGAAAAATATTGAATGTGACTCTGAAACCCACGCAATCCACGTTACGAGCGCCTTTTTTACACCCTATTCTAATCGACAGATTTGATAAATGAACAACAACGATAAATGAATAAGACTATGAAAAATTAATTAATTGTTACGTTCTTATGCTTATTATAAGTGTTTCATAAACTAACGTCAGTCTTTTTATCGTTATATTTTCATTTTACAATTGATTTATGTTGGTTTATTTATCTTCTATTATATTTACAAGTTTTTATTTAGTTAAAACAAAATCAAGTTTTTCAGTCGTGTTACCATAAAATGTAGCATCCCTTAGCACGAGAATCTTGAACAACAAACAAGATTTATAAGTTTTCTAACAATATTTATTTTTCATTCTTTTCAGACATTTCATAACATATTTATGTTTGAATTAATTCATAGCAAAGATAAAATGACGATTTATATCATTCTAGCTTAATCAAGTATCGATAAAAAATTATTCTTTAGAAAAAGTTTTTCTTGCTCATGATTTGTAGTCATTTATTTTGAATAGATTGAACAAAATGCTGTCGTACTGGTATGATCCCATATTGTTATTCCAGAATTTGAAATAGCTTAGAAGTCTTCATAATACGCGGACATGGAATTTTGGTATTCATAGATATTCTAACAGAGTAAGTATAATAAACAAGTATTAATGATTTAAATCTGTTTGCTATACTATTCTTATAAAAACTCTACTATGTCAAGATGAAATCGATAATTATACCTATAAATATTGACAAATTTCTACTCCTAATGAAAGGGATCCATAATTTTTAAACGTTGCTCTTTTCTTAGCTTTAAAATTTGATATAATTCATAATTTATAATATAGCTTCTCAGGAACTCGGGCTACTACTTTTCTTGACAAACACAATTGGTAAATAAGAATGTTAAAGGTTCGGTAGCGTCATTCGGTTTAGCCAAGTCTTACCATACTTATTAAGCTCTAGAACTAACATTATTATCGCCGTCATCTTATAAATTTTCATACTTTTAAGAATTTTTTTAACTTCATTTTCACTAATAAAATTCATGAAATAGACTTATCATCATTTGGTAGCTTTTCATTATATTGACTATACTTCATATTGAAACCTAATTGTTTTTTAATGAAGCAAGAGTGCATTTGTACAAAAAATAAACTGTTTTAGCTTTTATTTTAGTATTATTATTTCCGTGAATATAATAGTCAATATTTACTTTTGAGATATTCTTTTCGCAAATTCTTTCGTTGGTGATTACTTGCACTATATTAAATTTATAGTAAATTTGAAATTTCAAGTTTCGAAGTAAATAATTACTAAGAGTTTATCATTCATACTTCTAATTAGTATTTCTAAATCATTGAATTCAGTGTTTTACGTACATTGAAAAATATCTCATTATATGAGTAACAAGACTTTCATTTAGAGAAAAAATATCTTTGCAAGCATCAATTGCTATTGAATTATCTCTTAATTGCGATTGGCGCTGTCAAGATTCATCTTATGTCAGTTGCTTTCGTACACTGTAGATTTATTCTTTCTTTGATTTGTATGTTGTTTTGTATACAAAATCAATTTTGTTATCTTTTTTTGGTAATGAGGGATTCTCCTTCATTTGATTATGTCCAGTCGATATAACAGGTTACACATTTTCTTAATGTTCTTATTAGGTTTTACATACATAATGGTCAACTTCATCCTCAAGATTGAAAGTTGAGTTACTGTATATTGTATGTATGTACAATAGCTATAATACGAATTACTGTTCTATCTTTATTTATAAATTTTGCAATCTTTCGTTTGAAGCTGTTTAGCGGCGCGGCGTAGACGCAAGAAGTATCGCATTTGTACATTGTTAGCTTTGCAGTTCAATATATTGAATATGTTTCTAACCAGGTTTGACACTGATAATATGATAAACCTTGTAGAAAGTAAATATTCAATGATCTTTGAAAAATTCACGTATCTTATTTGGAGCGATCAATAAAACTATTTATAATTATTACTTTTGAACTCATATAAGAATTCACATAGTATACCTTACATTTATTACTAAATTATTCAAAGTTTTTCAAATTGATATTGTTTTCAATAGCTTCCTCATCTATTTCGTGATTAACGCTGTTAATGATTGACTCGTCATTTCTTTTCTTACATATTAATTTTAATTTAATATTCTTTTATTTGTTCAAAATACTTATTGTTATTTTACTACAATTAACGCTACTGCGACGATAGCTTGTTCGAAAAATTTATTATACTTCTTATAGTTATTTTATATTTTAGATGGATGGGCATTTTTACATTTAGTTGTTTAGTTACAACTACTTACTTGATGAAACATTACATAATTTATCTCAATATTGGCCCTAAAAATTGTAGTGACCCGCAGCTACTGCGGATTTTTTTATCAATGAGAAAAACCAGCTCACCCAAGTTTGCTCACATATTAACACATTTTGCTTAGGGAAAAAACGAATAATCATTGCTGAAAGAACAAGATGATATAACACATAAACGTCAAAATTTGTAGGCATTACCGTTTGTTTTGATCAAAGTTAATATATAATATTGAGAGAGAGAGAGAGAGTGAGAGAGAGAGACAATGTGTCTGTGTGTGAGCGTGTGTGTGTGTGCGCGCGTGCGTGCGTGCGTTTGTGTGTGTCACGAACCTGCAAGCAAGATGGTTTTTTACATGCGCAAAAAAGCTTCTAATGGCAACACCAGAGTCATCTATCTGCGAAAGTAAGAAGAAGAATGATGGTGCGTGCGCGCGCCAGTGTGTTATGCATATATATGTATATACATGTATGTACGTGGTACGTGTTTCAGTTTCAGTTTGACTCCATCAGCTCCATGAGTGGTTATCACTCTCCACTCTCCGCCAATGCCGTATACAGTTAGTGTAAGCGAAACAAGCTCAGTGTTGCGCGCAAGACCGAGTGTGAAGATGTGAAAATACAACGTGCAATCGTAGTGTACATCATTCAGAAGCTCGCTGTCAAAAGGGAACATATCGTCGCGGTTGCTACTGCAATAACATACCGAACTAAGCAGACATATCTGTATTTGACCTGATCCATGAGGAACGACGACCGCGAATCGTTTGCCAGTAGAACATCGTCACCAGCAAGTATACGTTATCCTCGGTGGAACAGCCAGCAGCAGCACGGCTTGACTGCAGGAGGCTACGACGACGGCAGCTGCCGGCTGTTAACAACTTCAACTACCTCGCCCAAAGATGTTCAGCAAGAAGCTGCATGCAGACATTAAGAAGTCCACCCTCAAAATCCAGGACGTTAAGAAGGACAGCGCCACCAGATTCAAACATCTCAAAATCGTCCTTGGTGAGTGATTCTCTTTTTATACTCCTTCCTTTCTGTTTCTTTCTTGACATTCTCAGGATATTCTAAATTTTGTTATGCATTGTGCGTGAAAAAGACACAGATAGGATGTGGGGCACTATATCCTCCTCTCTACTTGCGAGAAGAGAGAGAGAGAGAGAGAGAGAGAGAGAGAGAGAGAGAGAGAGAGAGAAAACACCTACGTAATAACACGCGCGACATTATCTGTGAGAAACTCGCGATTCTTCCTCTTTTTAACTCTTTCGACATTGGTGCACCTATATTGCTTGCATCCAACACCCACCAATCATTTTCAATTGCTCAGGCATCTATACACACACGCTGAGTTATTGTTTACTTTTTTGTTTAGTGTTTGACTGTTACATTTTTTTCCTTTATAACGATTCCTCTCTTACTCCTAGTTCAAAGCTCTAATAAAGCATCTTATATATGTGCTATTTCTTGCAGTACCTGACCATAATTACATTTTTCTTCTATAATGCATGCAGAGATAGTAATTTCTTCTTTTTTTTTTTTAAAGAATCCTATTTTTCAGAGAGCTGCGTACTAGCAAAATATTTTTTGTAACTGCCTTTTGTAATAGTCATTTTTACTTGTTCAGAACTCTTGGTTTCAGGAAGTTAGTTTTAAAGAACAAATTTGGGTTACAGATAAAGCAATCACCAATTTTTTCATATCTAATCAGTATATTACAATGTTATCTAGTTACCCAGAAGTTTCCTTACTAATATAAGCATTATTATAACAGAAAGCACATGGCCATTTTATTATTTAAAATTGAAATTGAATTCATTTTTAATAAACTAGCGATTCATTTTTAAAAAAGATTTGATTTATAAAAATTGCATTCTGGAATAAAAGAGATCGATGTTTAGAAATTTCTTACTTTATTTGGTTACATGCTTGATTATTTCATCAAAATAAATAAGTTAAAGTAATCTATTAATTGATGTGACATTCAATTAATTGATTAATTCCCTTTTTTTCATTTCTAGATAATGTGGATACCGATGAAGCTAAAGGATTCTTTGAAGCAAATTTCAGTCATGTCTACTTTATTTTGTATGATTGTTTTGTATCAGCAGAAACAAATTTACGTCAACGAGGTGAGTCATCACATAGTTTACAATTTTGAAATATTGTTTATCAACCTTCAATTGTTCAAAATTTCAAATCTTATCTAACATAATAACAGTAAAAACTTTTTAATGGCTGTTGTATATTTACAATGAAAATATTAACTGCTAACAATAGCATTGATAATCGGCATTTCTTTGTTTTGCACGTCTGCAATATCAAGATTATTAGTGGGTTAAAGTTGGTATAAATAACAGTAAAAATTTCCCATTCTGTTAACTATGTACTAATATAAATTTTCTCTACTGCTTTTACCTTGCTATGCTGACAGAACTCTCGTTTCATCTTGGTAAGTACTTGAAAGTATTGTAATACTTCTTATCATTCAGAATTTATTGTTATGAAACATGCTTATACATTAAACTAAAAAATTATTTCAATAATATACAGTTCACAAAGCGCACAGAGAAGAGCTGGAACAGGTACTGCAACTACTGGAAAAAGTCTTGACTCTTCTTCCAGAATTGCTAAACAGAAGGTGGCAATGTCACAGCTTAGCAAGGATTATGCAGAAACTTTTACATCCTGGTAATAGTTGGAAACTACGTCGACAGGCTATAAGGTACATTTGATTTTTTAAGAATTTGCACTCACTGAAGATCATAGTTTAATGCTTATGTATCGAAAGGTATTTTATATTATGGTATCAAGCATTGGGGGACAATGCACCAGAGCACATACATCAAATGTTTGCTTGTCTTGTGCCGGGTTTTCCACCAAGGCAGCCATCACCCTATAAATTCGAACGGAAAGTTGATAATAAGAAGCATACGAAGTCGGCGAGTTGTGACGAAAAAGACCGTAAAGATTTTTTTGACACGCATTTGAATCATTATGGATTTCTGGATGGTGGTGTTACGCAAGGACCTATTACAGCAGTTGATACCGGGCCAATCTTACCACCTCAGAGCGGTGAGAAACCAATGGACGGTGAGCCCGTCAAATTTTTCGAGGCTTTACTCGAGTTTATGATAACTCAGGTATGATTTTTCATTCGTTAACACATTTTGAAACTTTCACAAATACATTCTTTTTACATCGATTGTTATTTTATAGGTTGTAAAAATTGAGTGGCGAGATAAAACTTCGCGTCAGTACAAATCGTTTCAGTTTCTGTTGGACCGTTTCAAAGCGACTTACTTGAAACACATATGTCCAGAATTCAATGAAAATTTTTCTTTGTACAAACCTAATTTGGAATTACCGTCCATGCGAAAACCAACAAATCAAAGTCAAAATAGTTACGTACTATGTAAAGTTGCACTCATCAAATGGATCGCCACTTTTACCTATGTTGCCAAGAAAGATGGAGCGTTTTCTCATCTTACTCAGAGGTAAAATATATCATTCAAGACGAAAATAACTACGCCTTAGTTATTAATTAAAAGTTTTCATTCCATAGCATAACACCAAGTGAAGAAAATGCAGAAGAGCTACGACGAGTATCGATGTCGCAGAATCCTCCGGATGCAAGTCTCATTTCGACCGATCAGAGTTTAATGCCGGAAAATATAAATCAGGAAGATAGTACTCTTACAGCCATTACGCTTGTTCGCGATGTACTTTATGGGAGCCGCGACAACGTCAATTTTATTCATGAAATGTACAGACAAGCTTTTTTATTGGATTTTACGCATGCCACGGCGATAAGGAAAGCTATTGGCGCTTATAAAGACTGGATACAAATGAACGTATGTTTTTTTTCGCAATGTATAAATCTTCAGATAATTTTATTTTTAATAAAAAATAATGATTGTATGTTGTTGCAGGAGGTTCCGCCGTTTATGTTGGAACCATTAGACGGACACAGAGATAGAGATTATGAAGAGACCATGAGAAAAGATACAGATGCTGAAAGGAGTCCAAACGATAGTTTGAGAATGTCGCGACTGAGGAACGATTCGTATTTAGGAGCAATTCATCGAGAGAATCTCTTTGTGAGGGCTGGACTGCAAAATGTTCTACAAGTATTCATAACGCAAGCCTCAAATGTATTTTTCTTAGAAAGTAATGGAGGCGCCGCCTCTGCTACTCTGCTCGAAGAGCAGACTGATAGTTGTAAGAGAGTTCTTAATGTTTATCGTTACGTCGTTATGCACACGAGACTTGAACCCGCCACTTGGGAGCAGTTATTAAGGTAACACCTTTCAAACTTGAAAATATGACTTACTCAAGCCTATTGAGTTAATAAATTTGTTCTGATCGTTTATTTTCAAGGATATTATTACAAATAACGTCATTAGTATTGGGCGAAAAGGCATTGAGGCGAAGACACCAAGAAAGTATTGGAGGCAAGTTAGCACCTGCCATTTTTCAAACTCTCATCGTTACCTGGATAAAGGCAAATTTGAACGTGGTCATATCGACACAATTATGGGATCAATTTTTACAAGTTCTAACGTCACTCACGCACTGGGAAGAACTTATCCGCGAATGGGCTGTAAGTGCATCGTCACTAATTAGCCTTCATATACTCGACAATTCTTATGAATGAATCCGTTTATTGAACTTGATTGAACACATTTAAAATTCCGTTTGCGTTACACTTTATGCTTTGAAATTGCTGTAGTAAATACCGGCCAGTACGTGATTCAAAGCTGTTTTTGTTTTTATAATGCATCCATTTTTTCATTTATTTCATAGAAAACTTTGGATACGTTAACCCGAGTTTTGGCCAGACACGTTTACAATTTAGATCTTAATGACCTTCCGCTGGATAGGCTAAGTGAGCAAAAATCTAAAAAACGCCGGGGCGTAGGAAGTCGGGCAGCGTCGACCGGCAGCGTGCAACCGCCTCGAAGGGGAAGTGTTGATCAAGAAACTACACAGTCATCAAAAGGAACAACGGGTAACGCACTCTTTTTAGTTTCGTAATTTTCAATGCGGAACAGGTCAATATCCGTAGTCATTCATATCTAAATCAAAATATTGCATTGGAATTCAAATTTCACATAAAATTTTCAACGTTTCTTAGTTGATATTACGTCAGCCGAGCTGTATTAAATGCTCTCTCAATCACTGACGCATTAAATCAAACCACTAAAATTTATGATTAGATAAAGATGTTTATGAAGCACAAGGAATATTAACGTAAAAATGGTTCACGACAGATCATTCGTACCGAGAACTACGAAAAATCCAACCTCTGCCACGAAGTGCCAGCGATAATTCCATTTACAGTGGGAAAATTCGTGCTAAATTAGCCAGACATCGTTCACAAGTGACTGCAACAGCAGATATTCCTGGTAAGTTGATACGTCTCGCAAAACAACACAATGTTTGGAATCTTTTCCTTGAATACCAACATCTACCCACCTTTGATGGCTTTTTTCATTGAATGTCAAACCAGTCAAAAGGAAATCGTTTAAAAAGCAACAAAAATTCCATTCCTGGTGTCTATCATAATGGCCACACACATTATATACTTCTAAATCCAGCGTTCGGCCAAAACTTTTATTTTGCTTGTCGCACTGACAGTACAGAGTTAAAAATACCCACCGCGACTATGCTGTGTGTGTGCGCGCGCGCGTGCGTGCGTATGCGTGTGCTTGCTGTGCTTTCCAATGCCAACGAGTGGACGCTTGCATACCCCAGCTTGTTATTTTTTTATTATCGGTGTTGAGTCTATCCTTGGCGACTAACAAAAGAACACCTACGAATCTATCGTTCTGTCCATTATAACGTACCATCCCTAGCGCTTCCGCTATCTATAGAGCAGGTCATGGCGAAGGTGGTATCATCACCGTCTACCTCCACATCCACAAAAAGTAGCAGGCGTTCGCTTGGCCGCCGCGCTAAATCACTTGAGAGCGTGGTTGTGCCCGAGAGTGAACCACCGAGTCCTAGGTGTCCGTCGCCGACACCTAGTAGTGGAGTTGACAGCAACAAGGATAGTCCCATTCAGATTGAAAATATTGACGGCAGCAGTATCGGTACGTTTTGGATTTCTCTCTCTCTCTCTCTCTCTCTCTCTCTCTCTCTCTCTCTCTCTCTCTCTCTCTCTCTCTCTCTCTCTCTCTCTCTCTCTCTCTCTCTCTCTCTCTCTCTCTCTCTCTCTCTCTCTCTCTCTCTTTCGTATAGGCTTTGAGAAGAATTGCTGATTATGCACTTGCACTCCGTACAGTTGCCATTATTAATCGAAGTGTTCTCCTGTATTTTATGTTTACTTCAATGTTCTCTTTCGATTTTTATTTGTTTGAATGATGAAAATGCCGAATACTTTTGTAACATTTTTCATTTCTTATCACACTTTTTTAATCGTATTTAACAAAGTTTTATTCTTGTTTGTGCTTCGCATGGAACCCTTTTACGATTCAAACGACACTCATTGTTTCTTAATTTAGAAATGTATTTTTTATCTTATAATTTTTTGGCGTTGCAGCAGATGTCATAACATTTCGCAGCGCAAATATCTAATACTCGCATTTTTGTCAGACACCAACGACGCATCGGAGAAAAGATCGGTGATGGCCGGTGGTGGTGTGAGGGGTTGGTTACCCGATGTCGCAGTAGTACTATGGAGGCGAATGTTGTCGGCTCTCGGCGACGTTAATAATATTCAAGATCCCACGCTACACGGCCAAGTGATGGACTATCTTGTGCAACTGACTCACACACTCATCAAAGTATGTGCTACAAAATTAAGCTGTTTAGTTGATGTTTGTTCATGTGAAGCAGTGTAAATAACGTATTTTTCAATTGTTGTAGATTCGGTTGAATCAAGGAGTCTCCGGGGACAATCAAGCAACACCACCAGCACCCGATCTGATACCACCTTTGACAATTATATCTCCCTGGTGCTTCAAGGTTCATTTTCAATTTACCAATCCAACTGTTGTTTCCAAAAACATGGCGATTGATTGCGTTGCGCTTGTTTCAGGCGATACAATTGCCAGCGCAGTACGAAACAGGCAAGTTGGCAGCATATCGGCTCATTTGTCTCTTAACGATTCAGCCTCAAGACGTAAATCTGTCCAAAGAATATCTCACGCTCTTTTATCGCGCGATTCATCATGGAATTTCTAGCAATGACACCAAGATTCTCCATACTCTCGTGAAATATACTGGTCCACGCCTATTCAGTTTGAATCTGTCTGGCTCCAACCTTCTGATCCTAGACTACATTCAAGCGGCGAACGTTATTCTCAGCAGTCAAGATATTGATGCACCAAGAATGGAGGCTGTTTCAATTCTTGGATCTTTGTTATCGCTACCGACTACTAACATAAATACGAGGGTCTTACAACCTAATGAAACAGAAATTCTAACAACTACATGCCCATATGCAAAAGTAAGCATTAGTAATATAATGTTTCATCTTTGGTTCTGTTATTTCACGTGATTGTTGATGTTTTAGGATCACATCATAGCGATTTTGATGCGTTGCTGTCGTCGCGAACCCACGGGTATTGCAAGATGTAATGCACTATCTAGTGTAGCCATGTTTGTTTATAAAGAGTTAACTTACAAATCATTGCACAGAACGATTCCGGAAGCAATCAATGTTCTTCTATTGTCCCTTAAGGTATAGTATAACACAGTAGTTTTATTAATGGTTCCAATTTAATTTATAACTTGCTCGATAGCACAGCACACTAGTGTAAGCGGTGATACGTAAAGCTTAGGTTTCGGGCTTCTTTTTATTCGAATTTATTAACGCACTTTAGTTATTGGTGTTGGATATCGCTTGAACTTAGTAATCTTAGTGTTCCATTGGATCAAGTGCTCAAATAGCCCAGCAGGCCGTCCGACGCAGGGACAAATTTCATTTTCTTCTAACGAATGAGGTATTGACTTTGCATGTATGACACATCTGTCTCCAGTGTCGTCTTCCATATGATGCAGCGAATATTCATCGACAATTGTACGTTGACGGGAATGTTTTTCGGCTTTATTGCATGTGAACGTCGTGCGACTAATCATAGCTTATGTGTACTAATTTCATACATTGTTATGAAGTTATTCATGCTAATGATTAATTTTGTTGATTGGAAATGATAAAATAAAATAAAAATTTCTTTATTAAAACTTATTTAAAATAACTGTTTTAGACTTCACACGCGACCGTCGCACAAGTAGCTTGCGATTGCCTTCTTCTACTCTGTGACAAAGCTGAAATTTTATTAGAGCAATATCCCAGTATACCTGCTAAGATAATTCAAAGTTTATCAGAAACACTAGAAAGGACAATAATTCGTGAAAGGAAAAATTCCCTGACAATTTCAATGCTGTTTTGTTTAGGAGAATGGGCCATGCATTTGGGTCCAAGTATGTTGCTGACAGTACATCAAGGAAAACCACTGCTCTTAACGCTTTTTACAGTAAATAAACATTATTTTACAATCGTATCAGTTGCAAATATTCACGTATAGATAATTTTCCTATTAAATTTTAATTTGAAGGTTCTAGATAATATTGTACAGAATAAAATTAATAGAGAGTCGCAAGAAGCATCGAAAACTCAGGCTGAAAAAGAAGACTTTGATCCAAATATTACTTTGGATAACTTACTCGGCGAAGCGACTGCAAAATTAATGTGGAGAGGAAATATGCAGTCTGTACAGTTGGCAGCCAAGATGGTATATTTTACGATACTTTTATTACGAATAAAGAAAAATATTTATTCAGATAATTAATCGTATTTTATTTACCTATAACAGGTAATGATGCATCTTGTTAATCATCTGGGGCATTTTCCTATGGGAATTGGAGCAGCTCGATTATCGTCTCTTGTGGTAGAATTGGACGATGTGCCAGGCTCTGAAAGTGACGAATTATCATCAGCCATGTTTCAAGCACCGAACATTCAACTTCTGATGCTCTCGAACTCAATTATTATGTCTTTAATTGAGCTCGACACTTTGGATGCGCCAGGTGGAGGAGTTACAGCGGGATTGTCAACAGCTCCATCAATAGTTCGAGTATTATTGAGGGATTTAGCTGGAAAAGCATCGTGGGACAGTTCAATTTTATACAATCAACCTTCAAACGGAGATATCAATGTGCCTAAAACAAAATTAGGTGAGCTTTAATCCTAAAAACTATCAATTATACTTGAATTCAGATTTGGTTAAATTTTAATGATATCATTTTATTAACATAGATTACACTTCAAAAGCTGTGAAAGATGACTTGTGCAGTGTATTACCTATACAAAGTTGTCCACCAAGACATACCCTGCGTCATCATGACCCTCATATTTTACCTACCTTCGAAAACGGAGCCAGTGACATGGATAATTTGGACGATGTAAGTACTGAAATTGTCAACTTTGTCGTTAAAAATTTGATGCTAAAGCTTGTAAATTGCGGGTTACTTACAAATTCTAGCTACTTCAGTATATTGGTCACACGAGTCCAGAGGTACTGACAAATCCAGAAATAACTCTTAACTCGCCCGCTGGACCTCCTCAAGGCCAATATTATGAAGCGGAGACAATAGCGACGATATTAAATCAGCGAAATGCTGAACGTGAACATATAAATACTTGGAGCCAACATGTGAGCATGTGCGCGGGTCCGATGACATCACCTACTTGTCGACCACCACCAGCGCCTTTTCACCACTGCCGTCTTCTTTTTTCACATCTGGGTCTGTCTGGATGGGAACAGCGTAGAAAATTACATTTGCTAGCCAAAAATGAAAAATTACTGCGAGAACTGAGAAATTTAGATAGCCAAAGATCGAGGGAAACTCATAAGATGGCGGTAATTTATGTTGCTCAAGGTCAAGAAGACAAAAATTCGATACTCAGCAACGTCACTGCAAGTAAAGAGTACGAGAGTTTCATTGCGCGATTAGCTTGGGAAGTAGAGCTCGAATCGCATACAGGTTTCATGGGTGGACTAGTACCAGGCAAAGCTTCCGGAGTGACTGCACCGTACTACGCTACGTCGTTTGGTGAAGTTCTGTTTCACGTGGCAACTCGAATGCCTTCAGATAGTCCCGAAAGTTTATTGCAAAAAGTAACGTAATTGTATATTTATACATATCTTTATTTGTTTAATAGAAAAAAAAGAATAACTATTATTTTTCAGACGAGGCATCTAGGTAACGACGAAATACATATTGTTTGGTCAGAACACTGGCGCGACTACCGTCGAGATATCATTCCTACGGAATTTTGCGATGTATTGATCGTCATTTATCCTCTTTCGAACAAATTGTATAGAGTACAAGTGTCGCGAAAATCGGAAATACCATTTTTCGGACTGTTATTTGACGAATGCATTGTGGAGGATGCCGTCTTACCTGGATTAATTAGAACAACAGCGTTAGCCGCCAGTAGAGCTAAGAGATCGACGCTCACCCTTTACCAGCATTAGTACGTACTTCCAAGCTACAATCATTTGCGTGATTTTTTCTTTTTTCGTAACTAGTCTTATTTAATATATTCAATAGCTACGAAGAACGGGCAAGATCTATAGATACTATCATGAGAAATCACAAGGAAGCTACGACATTTGAGGAATTTGCTGCCAACGTTTATTCACCTGTACAGCCGGCAAGTCCATTTAGTGGCGCATCTTCGATTTCAAGTTTGTATCCGACCTTTTGACTCTCAAGACTCGTGTGCAAAAATTGTGTCTAATGTTAATTTTTTTTAAAGGTTCGACAACGAGTGTACAGTCCACAGCTTCATCAAACCTCGCAGCAGCCTTGATAGATTCTTATCAAGGACGTGCGAACCTTCGCGGTACATCGGCAGCTAACAGTGACAATCGAGCAAATAGAGGTACGAGCATTCTGGTATAATTTGTACAAACATCTCGCGCACGCCATTAATTAACAGTCTCATCGATACCGAAATTCTCCCACGCGCTGGATCAAGTTCTTTTTAGCCGTATTATAGCCTCACTCATGTACTAAACATCTCTCATCAAATCATGTCAATCATGGTGTGGTCGGTTTTGTCTTTGTAATTTTCAATTAACCTTTTCTTTTAACAGTATTTCAAAATCTGTTGAGAGGTAATACTTCCATTCTACGTATATCCTAGAAAATAGTTATAGGTTTAGAAGCTTATCACACACGCGTCATTTGGTTTATCTTCGTGTGCGTGCAACAGATTTAACCAAAAAAGTAAAGGTATTGCTAGCGTACTATTGCTAACTAGAAGACCACCGCTATCTTTTTTTTTCCTTAATTTGTTTATAGTTTCCGACGGCAGTCGAGTATGGTTCAGCGGCGATGCTACAGAAAGTACTTTGCACGGTATTTCACCGAGACCAGCGAAGAAGATGTCGTTTAAGTCGGGACCCAAAAATAAGAATAATGCACAACCTACACCACCAGATAGCCCACGGTACAAATAGAATGATCGACTAGCCTTTTTATAGAGTCGCTTGTAATCTCAAGCTGTTTTTACACATTTTTATTAGATAAAAAACTTATTCTACGTTTAATGTTTAAAAATATTTTTATTTTCAATTTATTTAAGAATTTTTGCACTTATCAACATGCAATTCTCAATATTTTTAGAACGCGTGCTTTGAGCATTTCTTTTTATAAATAAACAATTACATTTTTTAATTAGTGTAAAACTTTAGGAAGAAGAAGCAACTAATAATCGAATATAAGAAGTATTGAGGATTTTTCATTGCCAACTAGCTATAATGTTTTACGTTTTCCGTCCTTAGGTTTAATTTTGTATAATTGCTCGCATAGATTGTCAACGACGAATAATTTATTGTTAATTAATATTGAATATTTGTAAATTATCCACATGTAGTTTCTAACGATAGAAAAATTATTATAAAATCAAATACTGATTAGAATCAAATGTTATTGATATCTTTTTTATTAATCAAAACAACATTTTCACGGATTTTAAAGAAAATTGAAAGTTTTGATTTCTTTTATCGAAATAATGAAGAAATTAAAATTTTTCCGTAAGACATTCCACACAATTTTGATTAAAGGGGATATTTTTATTATAACATTATCACGCAATATGCATTCCATTAAGTATCCTGCTATAAAAATATTAAAAATTTAATGAAAATGTACATCAAAATATTTCGAGAAACTGATTTGTAAGCGAAAAATTTAGCATTTCTTTACGCTTGATTTGAACAACCAGTGTAAATTCTATATTTACTGAATAAGTACCGTTCTAAAATTTTGTAAATTTCATGAAATCATAATGTTACTAGATCATACGTGAATATACATAATTAACTGCGTAAACTATTTCACTTTTCAAATTTTTGAAATGAAAATAAAAATGAAGTTAATGCAGTAATGCACGATGGACGTGAGTTTGAAGTGGAATTAAATCATCTAACTTTATGATCAGAGTCTCATCTGAATCAGACAAATATCTGTTATCGTCGATGAAGCAATTATATCAATTTTATTCATGGCCAAAGCAGCATTATTTTTGCACTAATTTATAAAAAACTAGAGGTAAAAATATGTTATATATATAAATGTATATATGAAGAACTTGTAGTATTTTAATTTTAAAGAGATTATTTAATTATATATGAGGTAAATATATTTGATCACTAATATATAGTATGAAACTATAAATACGAATTACTACTACTGTTTAACTAGAGTATAGAGGCTAAAAATACTATGTATTTATAAATGTTGTACTTAACAAATCGCGCTTGCAAATATTACTAATATACTGTCTATATTTCTGTTTGATGTATTTATTCTTAATACGCTAACATTACTGGTAAAGACATAGCAATTAAACTATATTTTGTAATAAAATGACTCAAATTATTACATTAAAAAATGCATCATCTCACAATTTATGTGTACAAAATAAAATAATTATTTTATGTAGATAACAAAATAGAACTGTTGACAACCAAATGATCTTACTTGTAATTTTTATAATAAAAAATCATTGGTCACTGACTCGTAATTTTTAATTATTTTTAGCGGCAAATAATTTATTTTTCGACACTCCGTGCGGAAAGTGCGTTTTTCCCGCACGCTCGGCAAAAAACGTGTGTTGAAAATCGCACTTTCCACACGTCGTATCAAAAAATACGGTACGGCACATGTTCGGGAAAGAGTTTTCCGTCTCGTGTGGCGTTTACGCCCGAGCGAAGCGAGGGTGGAAAGGTACACGAGACAAGAATCTACTTTCCCGCACTTGTATCGTAATGTACTAATTTGGCGTACGTTCGATTTAACCGTATCGTCATGTCTGAAAAATCTTTCTCGGATCCCTGGAAATTATTTTATTATAAATATCTGCGGTTCAATTCGAATTCCCAGTTCCATTGATTCCAAACTGTGCTGTCTGCTTGATCATTCAAACAAAATTGATGAAAAGCTCATCAGAAGTCAAATTTTTGGGGCTCGGCAGAGTACCACTCGCAGCGTCGCTCGTAAAAACAAGTGCCTTCGACTTCGAGCCTGCGGCAACAGCACCGAGCGGGATAATCTGCAGCAACGATGCGTGGTGACTGGTGACTGGTGATTCGAAATGAGGGCTAGTTGGACTCGACTATTCGGCTGATTATTACCGAATCACTCTCATCGTCTCTCATCTCTAGTCGATACATTTGTAATCCAGGGGAAGTCTTATTATTATTAGGTTCATTAGTAACACGAAGATTCTTCCTTTCTCGATCTCTCAATAGCCCGATATATTTAAGGAGAAACCCCAGCGTTATAGCAGACACAGTATTATTAACGCATAGATTTTTGTAATGACCCGCCGGATAATAGTCAATGCATTACAACTGGCCCCGCGTCATTAGTAGAGCGTTAATTAAATACATCCCTCTCTTTATAATTTTCGAGACCATCCACCCCTTTCCTTCCTTCTCTTATCCTCGGAAAAGCAGAAGGAAAACGGGCTTCAGTTGCGATTTGAGAAGCGTCGGGGATAGACATGCCCTCCTTTAGTCTAGCTTTCATTCTTAATGTCGAGTTCAGTTGCAATATGTGAGTGCAATGTGTAGCACGGTTTTATTCGTTTGCGATTCACTAGGAGTGTGGAAGTGCTGTTCGATACTCTAGTGAATTTACTTTGTGAATGTGCGTCGCGTGTAGTGTGTTGCGCGCACCAAGTGTTTTAGTCAGCCACAGAGTCGAGTCACTTTTGTCTTGCTTTAAATATTATTATCTTTGTCTAAAATTTAAATAAAACTTCTTTTTTTGAACATAAAACGTACGTCTCATCTCTCAATATCCTCACAATTTTATTTCATTCTTTTTTATCAACGACATATTTTCTTGAAACGTTCACGAAAAGTTAACGTATTTCAGTGGAGCGTTTACAGTAACGTTTGGAAAAGGTTTTGGAAGAAGTTATGCAAATAGTTAATGCAATTTGTCTTAAGCATTGAACCGTAATGTTGCACGAATCATTTCTGCTATGTTTTGCCGATGTTTTGCGGAATGTTTCTGTAAACAATTGAAATATTTCAACGAAAATTTTATAATAAATTTCTGAAATATTCATGCATTTTTTTCCAAAAATTATTTTAACAATATTTCGGGGAATGGTTTGTAGGAATACTGCGACAATGTATATGGAATATTGGTATACAATATTGCAGAAATACGTTTCTGATGGTTTACGCTAATGTTTCGCAAAACATTTTTATCGACATACCAAAAATTTTTCACGAAATAGTCTTTGCAATGTTTCTGAAAAGTTTATGCAAAGTTTCCATAAAATGTTTCAAAGCTTGACATGGAATTACCCATACTCGCATAAGTTTGTCTCTGTCTAAGCAGTGCTATAGTGCTACCGATAGTCGCCGCATCGAGCGCTATAACCAGTCATATTGTATCGCTCCGCCTCTCGTTTGAGTTTGTTTCTTTAATCTAGTACTTCAAACTTCAATACTTCATGATCGTGATTAAACTGTACTCTGTACCTGTAGGCTGCTGTGTCAACATAACTTTATTTATCCTGTTCTACTACATAATACACGATTAATATAAAGTTGCGGCAAATCAAATTAGGGCGAAAATTTAGCTGTGCTATAATTTTGAAAAGATCTCAGATTCATATTTCAGATTTTCAAGAATTGTTTTCTTCATACAATATAACCTAAAAGTCATATAATGACAGCAGGTAAAAATTCTATTACTGCAACTAGTAAACCACTTTTTCGAGATTTAAAAGCTGATGATCTAGAGCCCGAAGCAACTGTCATCGAAAGTTTGTGTGTGAATTGTGGAAAAAATGTACGCTTATGATTGATATTAAGAATAACAAGTTTAACATTTATTACAATGTAATATTGGATATTCTTTCAGGGAGAAACACGATTGTTTCTTACGAAAATTCCTTTTTACAAAGATGTTGTAATCATGTCTTTTGAATGTGAACATTGTGGTTTTCAAAATAATGAAATACAAAATGCAGGAAAAATTGAAGAAAAGGGTGTAAAGATATTTCTCAAAATTAGGACAGAATCAGATTTGAATAGACAAGTTATCAAATCAGATTATACGAGTGTATGTATACCTCACTTGGATTTCGAAATTCTATCTCAATCACAGAAAGGAGGTAACTATAATATTATTTGACATAATTGAGTAAAATAATACATTAATTTGAAAGTGTCTAGAATCTTATATTCCTATCTTATATTCAAGAGGTGACTACTGTGGAAGGCATTATTGATAGAACTATTACAGGATTGGAACAAGATCAAGATCATCGTAGAGAAAAAAATCCTGAAGCTGCACAACAAATTGATCAATTTATTAGTAAACTGAAAGATCTATATAGCATCAAAGAACCATACACAATGATTTTTGAAGATATTTCTGGCAATACATTTGTACAAAATCCAAAGGCACCACAGAAAGACAATGACTGTGAAATTCACTATTTTAAAAGAACGAACGATCAAAATCATATTTTAGGTATCTATGTAGAGAACGAAGATAAGCTGCTTCAACCAATTAAAGAAAATGAATACACTTTAGAAGATATTGAAGGGGAAGTTTTGACTTTTCCAACAAATTGTCCAGAATGTAACAATCCCTGTGAGACAAATATGAAAATGACAAGTATACCTAATTATTTTAATATGAATTTCATTAAATTTCTTTTGCAGCATACCATATCTAAAATTACATTATTAATTTGTAGATATCCCCTATTTTAAAGAGGTTGTAATTATGGCAACTGCCTGTGAAATTTGTGGACATAAAACAAATGAGGTAAAAAGTGGTAGTGGTATTGAGCCAGAAGGAGTGAGAATAGAAGTAAAGATAAATGGCAAGGAAGATTTTGTTCGAGATTTACTTAAATCTGAGACTTGTTATATGAAAATACCTGAATTGGAATTGGAAGTAGGATCAACTACATTAGGAGGCCGTTTTACCACTGTTGAAGGAATTATCACTGCTGTAAAAGATCAATTATCTACATCAACAGCTTTAACTGGCGACAGCACTGATCCAGAAATTCAATCTAGAATTAAAAATTTTATAACTCAACTTGATCAAGTTTTGCAAGGAACTAAAAAAGTTACTTTAATTCTTGATGACCCTGCTGGAAATAGCTATGTACAAACCCTAAGTGATATTGGAACAGATGCTGGATTAACTATTACTAAATATAATAGGAGTTTTGAGCAAAATGAAGAGCTTGGAATTAATGATATGAGAGTTGAAAATTATTAATTGTATATATACAAATATTGTTACATGTTTTCCCAAAGTTTTCAAAATATTTTTCAAACTAATTTTTCACTTTTAATTTGTGTATATAAAGTTAATCTTCATTGTCTTCATCTTCGGCAATGGATCTAGAAATGAAAATTTGATGTAGTAGATTGAACACTACGTCAGATGTTTGATCACTAAAACATACACAACAGGAACTGAATCTAGTTTTTGTAAATTTGGCAATTTTTTTATAACTTGAGCTCGATAAACTTCTGGATCCATATTTTCACACAAAGGATTGCCAACAAAGAGCAAGTCTTCAAGTTTAGGTATCTCTTGTAATCTATTGAATTCCGCCCAATCCTTCACCATGTTATTCGACATATATAATATCTTGAGGGCTTTTAATGCAGCGACACCTTTTATTTTTTCAATTAAATTGTAAGAAATCCATAACTCCTCTAAATGATCACCAATTGCTTCCAAGCCAGAAAATGATTTAATGTAGTTACGACTCAGTGATAAAATTTTTAAATGTTTCAATGAATTTATCCCAATGACTTTTTCAATCATATTTGTTGACAGCAATAATTTTCTAAATAAATAGATCATTTTAATACCTTAACTTATTCTTTTAAAAATTATTTAAAAGACAATAAATTTGTTTATTAATTAACTCGACTTTCATTAAAGATGACAAGCTATTATCCATTTTTTGTATAGGTGGCCATTGAAAGCTTAGTATAATTTCTTTTTCTTCACTAGCCTTTTTTCCAGTACGTTCCTCCCACCTTGTAATTGCTTCCTTGCAAGTGGTTGCTTTAGCCTAAGTTTGTCAAACGTGAAATAATATGCCTCAAGGATTGAATTAATATTCGAGTATTTACCATTAGATATTCTTTATATTTGCAATACAAACTAAAGTTTCTTCAATCACTGATGCTTTTATATTAATGCACAAAGGTCGTAAAACTTTGAAAAGAAATTTCTCATGAAATTTATTTTTCATCAATAAAAAAACAAATGATTCTTGTTGTTTACAAAATATGTAAATTTCAGTCGAAATAGTTCTATGTTACAAAATATGAGCAATTTATAGCAGGGTATATACAGGGAATTTTAAGTTTATCTAAAATTGCATGCAGAAAAATTCTACTTTCATCTGTAGTATTTCGTTATTTACTATAAGAAAACTGTGTTTCCAGCAAATTACAAACAGAAATGGCTGTTTTTGTGTGTATATTCTGTTTTCACAAGAGCTCATTCAGTTATAGTATAATATTACGCAGATAAGAAAATTACTAAAAGAAGAATGATAGCTAATGAAAAATTACACTTGTAAGATGAAGAAAGGTGAATATTTATTATCCACAAATATTCAACTTTTTCCGAAATATAAACATCAATTTCTATTTATCGCACTTATTAAATTCTTCTTCATACAGCGTAAAAAGAAAGTGAGCAATTTTATATTTGTATTTCATTGTAACAAATTAAAGTCGCTAAAATACTTGCTGATTGGTTTCTTTATAAATATTTATCGCCTAAATAGACCAAGCAACCTAGCTCTAAGCAGTAGTAAAATTTAACATTAAAACTATATGAAATCTGATTGCGCTATCATGCTGAAGATATTGCGTAGTTTAACCCGGCACATTTTTCTACTAAAAAATCGGTATATAACAACATATTATAAAAACTTGAAATACAAATTGAAAATACAGTGATGTAGCATTAATTTTGTATTTTTGATAGCCATTTTCAGAATTGAAATAACAATTACTCAAGCATAGGTCAATTTTACAAAAAATTGCGATTGCGCAAAAACTATTTATCGCACAGCATCCATTTTTGACGAGTTTAAACTAAGTATACAACACTATTTTAATAAATTTCAGCTCTTGATCTAGTAAAATGACGGAGATACACATTTTTTAAAAATGTTCACGTTTTTCCATGTTTTCTCCGTTTCCAATTATTGGATCCGGTCCAGCAACATCTCATTTTGGACGCCTTTTATTTCTCTACAATTGTTCCTCTAGTATTATTACGATCACTCTAATACTTTTTACGTTGTAAACGAAAAACCGAAAGTGCCGTTTTTACTATTGCTATTGTTAATAAAAAAATGGTTATACACCGATTTTTTTGTAGAAAAAAGTGCCGGGTTAAACTACGTAATATCGTTAACATAAATGCGCAATTCGATTTCTTATAATTTTAATAATATACCTATTGATTGGCCTATAGATTAATGAGTGTTTAACGATCCATTCACTTTAGGCTCTCTTCAAATGTACATGTAAACACACATGCACGCACACACACACGCACACGCACATGCACACGCACAAATAACTTAACTAAATAAATAAAAGGCAATTAATGCTACTGGGTTGGAGAAAAAAATGATTTTCGAAGTCTAGACCACAAGATTATTCTCTTATTCTGTTTCTTTTTTCTTTTAACATATGAGGTTACATGTACAGTTCAATTATAAAAAAGGATACCAATGTGATAAGAAAGAAGATTTCTCTGGCTGTTTCTTACATCAGTTCATTTTTTGATGAGGGAGTATGAGAATCATGCTCTAGATAGTAACTCTAAAATTTTTTGCAAGATCCGAGAAAAAATAGAATAAAATTAAGACTATACATATTGCAAATTGCCAAAAATGAGAAATATACATATCGGTCCACGAAGTTTTTACTTTTGTACAGTATTTACAATTGCATAAATAAACACCGATCTTTGATCGTTCGATAAGTGTTTCTTTATCATTTCATTTGGCAGAGTACGAGGAATATAGTCTCTCTGGCAAAAAAGAATCATAGGAATTTACAGCTGTTATAGTAAATGATACAAATGATAGAAAAAGTGGAAGAACACGTGTCATTTCTCAAATAAGTGCAAAAAACTTTGTACTTTCCTATGAGACTTATTTTACCTATCATTTAAAACCAAAGAGATGTATAGAGAAAGAGAGGCATGCTCTACGCATCCTAAAGAAATTCCGACAAGTTGCACAACAACATCGCGGCATACATTGGAGACCAATTAACTTAGCTGTTTCTTTCTCTCGCAAAACTACTTTTCTCAAGTATTGTTTTACTGTAATTTTTCAGCGTATATATATCAAAACATAGTACAACATACAATTTAATTATGGTACGACAATTTGTAAAGCTCTCGTTACTACAAACGTTTAGAATCGATCAACGATTAATCGAACTCAGATATATGACGAAGAATCTTCATATACATTGCTTTTTTTATTAATCTTTGATTATGTTTTGATTTTATTTAGAATAACATACATCATTATCATTCAGACGTGAAGATTCATCGTTGAATGTGCCGCGAAAATGAGCAGACATCTCCAAACAGCGAGACTGCAACATACTACGGTAAAAGCCCATAAAGTTAGCTCTTTCCTTAATAATTTTTGTCTTTATTCACATCAACATTTATCCATAATATTACACGCTATTATAATATATTCCTACAAATAATCAACTTTTAGCAGAGACGGATTTTGTTTCTTTGATAGGATTTTGTATTAATAAGTAAATCAATTTTCAATTAAGTTTCTTTAATTGCAGCTTTAATGTAAAAGTTTTTCCGCGAGACATAATTACGATCTCATTTTCAACAAGGTATATTAGCAATATCAACATAACAGCCTGCCAGCAGTGCGAAAATTATAATGTTTTCAACATGAATTTTTTTGCGTTCATTCCGCATTCTCTCTAAAATTAGCTTTACTACGATCACACGTAAATTTAACAAGCCTGCTTCAGCATAACATCACTCAAGCAAAATTATCGAATTCTAGAAGTCCGAATGCGATTTACTGAGTTATTTTCTGGTTGATAATGGAATAGCGGTTGCTAAAAAGAGAAACTAATTTCTCACTAATGACAATAAGCTTTTTTAGTCCACACGAAGAGGCATAACGGACATAACGTTTAGGCTGAAATCATGCAAAGTGAAAAATATGATAGACGCAGCGCGTAGAAATATCAATTAGCACACTTTCTTCGAATCAATAATAACTTTGAAACATAATTACTGTATCAATTTACTTGGTTCTTGGACTCGAGTAATAATTTGTGATTTTGAAATAGACTTTTTGCTTTATATTAATTTAAATTAACATGTTTACTGCGCTATAGTTTACATCGTTTGTTGATTATAAATTGTGTTTTATTCCAACGAAAACACAAGCAATTCATGCTATTCAACGAACGTACCATTGAAACGACTGGCGTTTATCTTCATTAACCTCCCGTCATATACATACATGTCATGTTTTTTAAAAATTCGCGGATTAAATATAGCATTTCGGCAGCTTCTCTTAATTTTTTTTTCGTTTTAGCTAAAGCGAAGCACATCCGTTAGAATTATCATTACTTCTTTGTACAAAAAATCTCATGTAATTATGAAACTGATGTCCCATTTAATGTTGGGCATACACGCTTGTATGCGCGCGCACCACCCACAAAGTACATAGTAGAGCGACGTTTATTTTTTTTCTCCTCTAATAAACCTTATATTGTATTGTTTTAATAATTCGTAAACTCATCAGCCGACTTAAAAAATTGAAAAAAGTATTTATATATATTACAACTATACTCGGCAACGTATTGTCCGTTCTCGTAATCTTAGTTCCTCTTATTTATATAACTAGTTATGCGCGCGCGAATCTCATTTTCTTGAGATTTGTGTGTTTGTGTATGTGTTTTGCTTTTCTCTCACAGTGACCCCCTCTCTTGATACACACGTACTTCAGTATTAATTAATGCAAGGAAAGAAACTAACTCTCGACCTTGTTGCTGCGCATTAAAAAATAAACTGGAAGAGAGCAAGGCAGAGACTAGCAGTTGCTTGGATCGGGCGGTGTGACAAGGTATTCGTCCGCTCGTTTGTGATCCGAGAGCGCACGAATCGTATAGGAATCTTGGGGCAGTTCACTTTTCCTTCTCAGCAGCTGTTTAACTTTGATAACTTGCGAAGATTTCTTGACCTGTTAGACGCATCGAAAACGAATTAAATTGTTATAAGCTTTTGTCACGTACAGATAAGCAGTTTATCAAGACACAAAGAATATGAAATAATTTTCACGTTCAATGTCGTAACTGATGATTCTGTCTGACAAGAGATAAGTAATCCAAGCAATAAAGCCTTAAAATTGCCTATAAGCTGCTTTCTGTTTTCCTCATATCAGAATATGAGCACACGCCATACACGCACTTACATTTTGAAGACTTACTTCGTTGGCTTGCACATCTATTTTGTCGGCTATTAACTGTTCGCTTTCTTCATCTTCTTCAGGTTGGGCGTTGTTCTCATTATTTTGTGTGATGAAGGTTTTATTGTTATTTGATACTACAGACTTGACTGACGAGTAAGATGGATGCCTTGTAGCTAGTGCTTCGACTTTATTCCACGCTTCGTCTCTGTCTTTCAGCAGCTTGCACTCCTTCAACTTATCCTAGATCCAAATAAATAATTAGTGCACATCAATGACTCAATGATCCGATTGTGCTCTAGACTCACTTGCTGATATTGTTGGGAGCATTCGTCAAAAACCTTCTGATTCATTTCCATAAAGAGCTTAAGTGCGTTGTAGATTAGACCATGTATCGTCTTGTTCCAATGGTTTCGCGAATTCCTGTAGAGCGCCGGATACATGATAGGTAAAATAACCGAGTAATTGTCGGAGATGAGAGACATTATGTATTCATTATTCCAGTAGTAGAGGGCTCTCTCGGCAACCTGAAACAGCCAGTGAAAGCAAGAATGAGCGAACACGCGTGTGCGCGAGGCAGGGTCTTGATGACAGCATCCAGTTAAGAAGTATAATTTAATTGAAGAAGTAGAAGTTCGGATGGCCGACCTGGAAGTGCGGCGAAGAGACACACTTAGCAAGTTGTCTGAAGAGTGGATCCATGACTTTTTGAAACTCAGCTGGCTCAATCACGTCGAGTATCTCCTCAAGCTCGTTGAGAAACATCACCTCCTTGGGCGAGTGCGTTTTCGGCCAGAACTTTAGCAAGTTCTTGATCACGGGCTCGGTCAAAGAGGCGTCCTTTTCCAAAAACTGAACTACGCAATAGGCTAACTGGGGATGGTACACCGACAGAGACTTGGCCTTGTGCAAAGGCAACAGCACTTTCAGCAGGAAGGTCTTGTGCTCTTCCTTCAATGGCAGTGCGAAGCCATTGATGATGCTGAAAACGACAAATTCACAATTGTTTTTTTTAATTGCTTAAATACGTCACCCCAATTCTCATCAAAAAATGTTTGCTGAACGATCACGAATAAGCTGTTTCATGCAAACCGATACTTGTATTATTCATCATTACTCAAAAACGAACATTTTAGCAAGCAAAAAATCCAATTCGACCTTGATTATTAATCAATTGTTTACAAAATCTAATAGGCGCTATTCGTAATTTCAAATAATTTCCCTAGCGATTACCGAAAGCATTAGAAAAACTTCTTAATGGCTTATTTTTTTATCGAGTGACTAGTAACGTAAAGACAAAGTATTGAAAGCATGCTCGGCAGATTTTCTCCTGTGACATGAATGTAATCGTTAAATTATTTTCCATGCTAAACCTACAGCTATATTTGAAGCATCGTACAATGCATAAAAAAATTAATAACTTGAAGGAGGAGAAGGAGGAGGAGGAGGAGGAGGATAAGGAGGAAGAAAGAAAATACTACGCATGATCTCACCTGCCAAGGATCTCAAGTAGCTCGGCAATGCCATTGTGATGTTCAGTCTCGTAAATGAACCGATAGAAAACGTTGTTGATCTGTTTGCGTATGTAAGCACGGAGCCCAAGGAACTTGCCGTAAATTCTATGTAACGTGGTTTTCAACAAATCACGTTCTCGTGGATCCTCCGAGTCAAAGAGCTCAAGAAGTTGCAGGATGAATTTGTGATCGATGTAGCGTTTGGCGACGGCCGGCTGAAAGTCTGGCGATTCGAGCAGTCGTAGAAAGAATTCGTAAACGAATTGCAGGTGAGGCCATGCAACCTCTAACGTCGGCTCATCCTCCTCTGGATCGAACTCCGCGCCGTTGGGATTCGACGACGGTGGCAAGGTCCGGAACAAGTTCACTGCGAACTGCAATGCGTTTACACATTACGCACGTTACGCTCAGCCACATGTGAGCAAGAACCTTCGGACGTTGCTAGTTTGTTCTCAGAATTGTGTCTTTTGCAAGTTTCGGATTTCGAGCGTGCTAATTTACTCTCGAGTTTTCGAGAGTTAAATTGGTTTCTTTTTTTCAGCCCGAGGTTATGCAGACTTGAATAGCATCGAAGAAGCTTAAGAAGCTCAATCGAGCCTTCAAATTCACGTACATTTCTTATCAGCCCGTTTATATGTGCCACTACTCTTTTATTTTTATCGTGCACAAAAATCGATTGAACTAATCGAACTCTGTGCGCACTCGTACTCGTATCCCGATGAATTGTAATTAATACAGTTGTCAGTGATCGCGATTAAAATTTATGTGAGTCAGTTAATTGGAAGGTGATAATTTGGAGATTTCTTTGTAGCTTTTTTTCATCAGACCGATATGAAAATATTTAGTTTGGCATACTTTGAAACAAATTCGGGAAATATATTTTAAGCGCAAGTCCCACGAGCGGCGAGTGGTTATAAAGGTTGACGATGACACTTGAACGTTAAGCCGAGTGTGCTTTTAACTGGAAGTTCACGGCGTTAATCTTATTATTTGGCGCACAGTCGTTTGTCCGTAGAGTGCAACGGCTACGTAATAACAAAGAAGGAGAGAAAAAAATCAATAGACTTGATAATCGATAGGATAGACGGTGGGGCTTAATTTAAAAGCCTGCTGTACTTTGACAAAGTCATACAGAGAAGAATTCCAATAGGACTACAAGAGCAAAAGGAAAAAGCCGATTGCCAGCGATTGAGGGATGAGAGAACGAGAGAACGAAAAGGCGATCTTATTAATATCCGTGGGCAATGAAGGCTACATTGTCATTGGAAAGGACGACGCCAACGACGCCTGGCCAAACCAAAGCCACGCTCAGCCCTAATCAAGTGCCATGAAGCTCGCTGACTAATCGATTTAGTTGATTGGCTCGACGGACACACGACAATGTGTCTCCGCAAACTGTCTCCCTCTCTCACCATGTTAACGGCCTCGGGGTAGATGGCTTCGCTGATAACGTTCCTGTTCTTCGTGACGTAGTCGACCATCTCGAGCAGAGCGCAGCGCTTCACCTCCTTCCATTGCAGATCCGACAGCGGGTCCGACTCGAAGTCGAACAGAACGCAGCATTGCCTGAGCTTCTGGATGAACAGCTCCTCTCGCTCTTCCGCCGGTACCTCTGCGAACAATGCGAATCGCTCAATGTTTGCGGCGAGCGTTTCTCAGTTGGCCACAGTCGACGGACGGACGAGCGAATCGCGGCGGAGAGCCTGGCGACGCGATATCGAGTCGCGGCGCGGAACGGGAACAGACGCGGCGCTGGCTCGACCGGCCGGCCACGGGGGCGAGATTACCGAGCAGCAGCGGCTGGAGCGGCTGGTACTGCAGGGCCGAGGCCACGCAGAACTTGCCGCTGGCGCGCGTCCCGTCCACGGTCCCGTCGGCACCGCCGTCGGCGGCGAACGCCAGGCCCTGGTGGAAGCTCGGGCTCTTGGGTATGCCGGCGCCGACCGGCGGGGCCACACTGCTCACGCGGACCATCTTCGCGCCCGGAGCACTGCTCGAATGCTCGAGTGCTCGACCGCTGGGGCCGCTGGGGCCGCTTGGCTCGGGGCTCGGCTGGGCTCTCGTCGTCGCGGAAGGCCCGTGAGGCGGCTCGCGGCTGTCGCGACTGAGCCGCGCTCGCGCCGCCGTGAGTGCCGCGCGGCGCGCCTGCGCCCCGCTCGCCGCTTCGGGCCGATCGATAGCTCTCTCCGGCGCGACGACGTGCCCGGGGCGGCCGAGCCGGAGCGAAGCACGCGCGGCGCTCGGCCCTGCTCCCGGCCGCGCACGTGGCCCGCCGGCTGCGCCTTTTCCTCTCGTCGCCGCGTCCGCCGGGGTTCGGGATGGCGCTGCGGCAGGGCGTGCCGCGAGCGCGCGCAACGCAAACACTCGCCGACGGACTGGCACGTGCCAAACTCACCAGTCAGCAGCGGCAGCTTCTGCAACTCGCGATTCTTCGAGACGTTGAATCTGGAGCTGCTCTGGCGCTTGTCCTTCCTGATGACCGGGCCACCGGCTTGATACTTGGTTTTGTTGATTAACGCCGGCGGCGGCGGCGGCGTGTTCGAATTCGGTGATCCGCTCGCCGCCTTGTTCGCCTGGGCAAAGTATCAAAGATGTTAGTAATCGCGGCCAGTCGATGGATCGGTGCGCGCTCTCTGCGGCCAATGAGCAGACGGGCATGGGGAAACGGGCCTACCGGAGAGGGCCCAACCTCCCGTCGACCTCCCGTCGGTGTCGGGGATAAGCCACATCTTCGTACGCGAGCGTGCGACTGCGTTTGCTGCTCGGCTCGATTCGCGGCCGACTTTCTGGAAAGGGGCCTTCTTCTCAAAGACGCTGGCCAAGCTCTGCACGCGCGCGCGCGACATCAACGACAACGCCCCGGCCAGCTAATTTTCCCAAATTTATCCGCCGACAGCAGCGTCGTCGGTGGCTCGTCGCCGGTGGAGCACTTCTGTCGCGCCAGCTGCCGAGCGAGGCGGCAGGTGTCGCGCCAGCCGACCTCTGTCGCGCATTCCAAATGGACGTATCGACGCGCGTATCGAGGCAACCAGCGCGCAAATAGGCAAGTGGGTCGACTACCGATGCGACCGCGTCGAGATCACGGGGAGACCCGATCAGCTTTCTGCGTGCAGCTACGGCTGAGCTAACGAATCGCGAGCCACGCGACACCCGCTCTCCTGCTTTCAAGCAGGTTCCCGGAAACCGGCTACAAGAAAGAAGGAAAGATCGCGTCGCTCGCGACCCGGACAGGGGCAACCAATCGGATGCAAATCGGATGCGAATCGGATGCGAATCGGCATGCTTGATCGGGGTCGCACGGCCAGGAGCAGTCGTCGGCGCAGTCCGCAGGCTCTTGTTGTTGGGCATCGGCATTGTCGCGCGATAGAGTACAGAGGCAAATCGCCTATGCGGAGCGGTCTCTCGCGTCGGGAAGCAGTGCGGAAAGACTGCGCGCCTAGCCAAGAGCGACGAGCGGCGACACCATCTGTCGCAAAATTCCTCAACGACTGCTCCACAGCCAACTTACCACGCGCCAGCGCGAGCGCGCGACTTTTCCTCTTCTGCGTGCTTCGCGCGCATTTTTCTCGTTGTGCAACACTCTGCGCCTGACGCCTAATTAGCGCGCCGCCGTGCACCGAAAGCTCGCGATCGATCGCGCGACTTTTCCTCACAGCAGCGTCGGCCTCGATTGTTTCCTCTATCCACGCTTTCCCGTTGACACTGCTCGCGATACATGCTCCGAAAGCGCTTTTTCCGCGCGCTGTCGCCGAATCACCGATCTCGTCCTTTTCTTGCTCTCCACCTCGGATTGCTTGCTGTGTCGATAGACGCTAACGGAGGACAAACTCCCTCGGGGGGCTTACTCGACTTTTAGTGAAGACCGAGAGCTCGCTCGCTCGCGGAATCGACATGATCTAAGGACAATTCAGTTTGTCTCTAAACGATTGACAAGAATGTCTTCCGATCAAATTTTCCCCGGCTATTGATTTTGAGCGGCCAGCCATTCAATTTATCACTCAAAATGCAGTTTTACTGCAGCATCATCAATACACTCTGCACGCGCGCAATTTCACTTTGTACAATCTTTATTATCATTTGCATAACAGGACGCACGACCGCTATCTCATCACGCGAAAGAAGCTAGGTATTATTGTTGTTCGTCTTCTATTTTTTCTAATCAAACTTTCTGCTAGTACATCACTCGCCAATGTTTTTCAAATGTGACGACGGTTCGCTTACGTAACTTAGTCGCAATCGGCATTTTATATGCGTTTAATTGGATATACGAATGATTAACTTGAAATAGAGGCAATTAAAAGTAAAAACAACTTGTAAAGACTCAATAGTCTCACAAGGGTATATACCTATAACTTGGCAAATGATGCATTTGAAAAATATCAATCCCTGTGGGATAATAATGTCAGCAAATTACAGAGCAACATATTATCCAAATTTACTTTCCCACTGAGACTGATATTGATTTAGATAGAAAATTTAAAGAACTAGCTTTGCAAATTTCAAATTGTGATATACTCAATCATGGTGAATTCGTGTAATGAAAGTCTTCTTCATGCTCACCTCATCCATAACTGCTTCTCCATTTTTTCCCTTCTTATTTTTTTCCTTGCTATTTTGGTCCTGAAATACATATAGAACTATTAATATATATAACCTATATAATGTTATATAGCATGAATAGTATTGTCTATCAAAGCCAAATGCAAAACATTTTTAAGCTAGCATATAGGTAAGTCCAATTATAGAAGGATGTTAATTTGTCGTCAAACAACTGCACACATTTACAAAAAAAAAGGTGAAGATCAAGAACAGGTTATTAAGAGGATAAAAATAAAAATGATTAAAAACCATGACAAACAAGTTGTGCTGTAAAACATATAGAGAGTTGTATTAGATAATTGATATTTCATTACTCTGAAATTTTTCAGTTTTCTGGGGCATCGTTATGTGATTTATGATAATCCTATCTCAACTATTCTATTTCAATAGTAAGCGATGTAGAAAAAAGTTTTCCACTAATAACTCAAGGAATTCACTGCACTACTGGTTTATGTAATGGGCTTAACAATAGAAATATGAAAACAAGCTACTACAGTAGTGTGTAACAGCATCGAGATATGCCATTAATTGTAAAGTAACAAAGAAGGAATAGGCAGAGTCTAGATATCGATTGAAAAGCATTTATACAATGAGGAGTGTTTAGTGATGAGGAAGATTGATAATTGCAGGGCAAACATGAATAGCTGAAAGAGAGATTAGACCAAGCACCAGGTGGTTAGTATCACCAATCAACAAACTGAAAAGGCACGCGCGCTTAAGGGTCAGTGGCAGCAAGTTGGAGTGTGCATATAAGATACCATTGTCGCGTGCTCGATAACGTTTGGAGAACGCGCGCAAGAGACAGGACGAGGTGTGTAGGTTAAGAAGCTCTTTGGTGGTGGCGGAATTCGGGCAGCGCCTCCTCCCTCTCCGCTGTCGCAGAGTTGAGTCGAGTTGTCTACGTTTGGGAGTGCCTTGAGACGATGCCTTGCAGGTCGCTGCTTGTTGTTCCTCGACGACAATGACAATGCCCGTACCCTTACCGGGCGGAGATCTTGCGACAAGCAAGAAGACTAGGTACCTAAGTAGTAGAATATAATGTGCCTGCGCTGACTGCTCTAGAGAGCGGCCTGTTTTTTTCTCGGTGTGTTCTCTGAGTAGATTGACTGCCGGATGCGCGATATATCGGCTTTGGTCTTGCGAGCCTGTGTGTGGCTCATGCGTGGCTTATTTTTACCGTAGTCTCGGACGCACCTCGCTGTCTATTCTCTGGCGCTTCGGCATTTTCTCTTTCTCACCGTGTCGTCTTCTCGCTTGCCTTTCACGAAACCACTTTTATGTCCTTCTCTCTCTCTCTATTCACCGTGTTGTGCTTCAGCTACACACTGCAAACACTTGTCTGCGCGAGAACGCTCGAGTTATGCTAGTCGTAAAAGAGAGGCTATAGGAATCTGTGCGCCAAGAGAGGATTATTATCGTCCCTCTCTTTCCCGTCTCTTTCTCTTAAAGGCACTGCTCCTGTACCACGACAGATCGGAGTCTCTCGTTTTCGCGATATTCCAGTTGGTACACTGTGTAACGTTCGACTGTTGCCGCGACGACGCTCAACTTTTTGAAACAGCAATAAAATCAACGACTAGCCAGGCCAACAGTAGCAGCAACAGCGGAATCAAACGAAAAACGCAGGCACTCGTTACTACTCAGGCGGCGGCGTTCGTTCGCACTGGCGGCAGCCATTGGCTAACGTCCACTGTCGCCAGTATGTGTGCATCCGTGCAATGCCATCGCTTTGAACGTGTGCGTCTCTCTCTCTCTCTCTTTCTCGCATACGCACACGCGCACTTGCGCGACGTTCGAGTTCTTGCTTGTTGCGCTCTCTCGCACTGCTCTCCGCGACTATTCCGTCTCTCCCTCTTTCGCTTCGCGTACATCTATAAGCAGAGATAACTTTTATTTAAAAAAGGAACCGTTAACCGAGTTCAAACTTGAAAATACGATAATGGCAATTCTTTCTAACAAATCCATTCCCTTCGCCAATGTTACAATCAAATGTACACGCGGAAGGCAAACGGAAAATGCCAATGTGCGCTAATACTTTTTCTGTTTTTGTTTTACTCTTTTTAGCCGTGTTTCTCTCTTTCTCTTTATGTGCTCTGCCGCACGTCCTTGTGCAGCACATGCAGCTCCTACACTACAATCGCAAATACATCGTATCTCTCCGTCTTTGTCTGGCACGTTTGGAACGCAACTATTGCGATTTGCGATTGCTTCAACTAACAGGTGCACATACGTACGAAAAATGCTCGAAATTCCTTAACGTGAAGTGTTACATGCAATATTAAAATTGCAGATAGCTGAAAAATATGCGTTATTTTATCAACTTGTTGAAAGATTCGTTAATTAACTTAGTTTCAGAGTAAGTGACAAATTTTCGATGCTCAATAAAAAATTTTTTCTGGTAGCGAATACTAAACATGATATGTCATATTGTTATGCACAATATCAAGTTTTACCCTTAATTTTGAAACTGGTTTTTAAGACGGTATCAAACATACAGATATAGAGGGCACCACATGACAGTACATCTTTAAAAGAATTTGATCAAGGATTAAGGATATGACAGAAAAACAAAATTAAACTAGCTAAAATTATCGTCAATATTTAGGTAGATCGAAAAATGTCATTCAAGGGAAAGAAAACCCTTTTTCATCAAATGGATTGCCATTAAATGATTGTTTTAATAAGTTTTTATTTAATCTGCATAGTTAAACTCTGATAAATAGGTACACATGGAAGTTGGTCATTAAATTTTATTTACACAAATTGACGAAATTTCGTGTACTGGAATTAGAGTTACCATTGGAGAAATTTTTCTCAGGGCCCTTAGAAATTACCCTATTTAACATAATGCATAATTTATAGGGTCCCCGAGAAAAATTTTCCACTGTGAAATTCGCAAGAATGCAGATGGCGCCACATCCTTGTGCGCTATATATCATTATGTACTATAGCATGGCAATGTAACCCATGTTGAGCCAATAATTCCTTCATTAAATTAAAATATGTACTAGAATTCACAAAATTCCGTGATCATGCCTAGCAGACATCCTTATTACTACCGCAGAGTATCATATCTGCAAATATTTAGGTTGAAAGAAATTGGACGTCTGTGAGTAGTTTCTATTCTCGAACACTAAGGTATATACTCGTCATTTCCAATAATCTAAAAACATTCATGTGTTATCTGTTAATCCATTAAACAAAAAAAAACGCAAGAGGAGAGAGGGCAAAACAATGTATTGATTGATTCAATTGTTACACGACAGAATACGTGTGCGGTACATTATTACGGTGTTTACAACACACAGAACAATTCTAACACATTTTTATATCGACATCAATTCAGGTCCAAAAAGTTAGCACCCAGAATCGTTTTTTTTAAGCTAATCGATAAACTAATTATACCGTTAGATATTTCGTCAGGATAGCAACAACTTTTCTCTTTGTCGTTTGTTGGTTCGTCCACTGGAAATCCTTAAAATTAATAAAATAAGTCTTGAGTGCTGGCCTTAGCACCCAAACCAAAGTTGCGGTCAAACCTAGAAAATATTAAGTAAAAAAATTGGTAAGTAAACCGATCGTTAGTTCGTCTTACGAACTAACAGCACTCATAATAAAATCATGACTAATTTGATTATTTAAGCAACTAAAAATAAAAAACTGTTTCGAATATTGGCTCACGTTCAAACGCCAAAGCGCGGTACGCATGCTTCCTAAATTATCCCCGCCGGTACCCGAACCCCCGTTCTTATTTTTTACTACACCTGTTTGATTTTAATACATCAGATCAAATCAAACTTTATAGTAACATTAGTAAACATTAGTAACTAGTACCTATTGTCCAATCAATGGGTAAATGGAATTTAAAAAAGTTACGCTTCGCGTATTAATTACTCAAGTACGTAAGGAATTGTTCAACAGTGGCACTGGTAACTAAATAGCACACGAGCACACCGGTTTTCGTTTGAACACTTTTTTAACCTAAAAAAGTAGCTATTGTGATAAATTCATACTAAAAGTGCACTTTGCTAAATATTACAATAGGTACTAGTTATTAATGTTACTATAAAGTTTGATTTGATCTGATGTATTAAAATCAAACAGGTGTAGTAAAAAATAAGAGCGGGGGTTCGGGTACCGGCGGGGATATTTCAGGAAGCATGCGTACCGCGCTTTGGCGTTTGAACGTGAGCCAATATTCGAAACAGTTTTTTATTTTTAGTTGCTTAAATAATCAAATTAGTCATGATTTTATTATGAGTGCTGTTAGTTCGTAAGACGAACTAACGATCGGTTTACTTACGAATTTTTTTACTTAATATTTTCTAGGTTTGACCGCAACTTTGGTTTGGGTGCTAAGGTCAGCACCTAAGACTTATTTTATTAATTTTAAGGATTTCCAGTGTATGAACCAACAAACGACAAAGAGAAAAGTTGTTGCTATCCTGACGAAATATCTAACGGTATAATTAGTTTATCGATTAGCTTAAAAAAAAGGATTCTGGGTGCTAACTTTTTGGACCTCATCAATTCTGATCCGAATTATACGACACACGCTAGTGTGCACTGTGGAGCCACCTGTCCACCAATTATCTAAATAAGAATTCTAGAGAATTAGGAATTGATAACCGATAAGTCGTATATTTTGAAATAAATTTCAATTAATCATGAATATACAGCGCTAAGGAGACATCGGATTATTGAACAATAGATATCGAACGAATACTGTCAAATTATCAAGGTCATTTTCTTAACATCTGAGAAAGTCTGTGAATGCAAAGGAACCGAGCATTACATAAAATATAGATCTACAATAACCCAATAACCCAATATTAAATTATTAGAAAATAATTAAAATGTAATTTTGACTATCTGTTTAATTTTTAAAACAATTAAAAATACGTGTATTATATTTCGATGAATAGAAATTGATTCCTTTATTTCAAAATATGCGCCTTTACTTTTCAATCCTTAATTGGTGTACAGATGGCTCCACAGTGCACATAGTATTTTATCTCGGATCAGATTGATGTCACTTTAAATGTGTAAGAATCGTGCTGTAAACACCCAAATGTACGCTCTGTCGGTCTGTCCTTACTCGGCACTCAGTAGTCGTCTGTCAGTTACTGGATTTGCGTTCTAATCGTCGTCGGTATAGAGGCCAACAAAATTATATAATGACACCGACGTGATGACTTAGATAACCGCCGGTCTTAAAAAGTGCAGTTTGTAAATTTCATCAAGCTTAAGTGTGACATATATTGTTTTGCCAATGGTTGGTTTATATAATCGAATAACAGTTTCAAATGTTTCAACTTGTCAAAGCTTTGCATATTTATTCGCGTCATACTGCACCATTTCTTTTGTACAACGTAACCGTGACTTTGATCGCTTAATTTGTATTGCAAAATAATCGAAAATGCCGCGTCATTCCTGTATCTCGTGCTATTTTCTATTAGAATATCGTTGATAGGTGCAGTGAATAGCATGGACTTTGGGTCAAAGAAATTTTCGCGTGAATGTCAATAAATGTAAAAGATCTGCTGTATCAGGCTCGTCGACGACATAGGGTTATTTATAAACGGAAGCAGCCCGTCGTGACTAGTGGAGGTATTCGTCAGTTTGTGTTTATCAATAATGTTTGCAGTCGTTTAGTTATGAGAGTGTAAATTACAAATTCGTCGAGTATAGGTCAGAGACAATGATAGGATTGACCGATAAAATATGTTCAATTGTGGTAGCTTTAACGCAAGCCTATCTTTAAACTTAGCTCAACTTTATCGATTATAGCATCGTATACGATTTCTAAAAGCAAAATATCAACTCTCTTTCGCTATGACTTTTCAAGAATGAGTGGTAAACGCGTACCAACGCACATTGATCCATTTCCTTTCTCCTTAAAAAGTCTTCGAGGTTCTTTTTCTTTTCGTTGCTGACAGCCTTCAGACAGCATTGCTTGTATTCAATACCGGAAAGGAATTATTTTTTCACTGCCTCGCATTCTCCTTCTCCGGGTCACATTCGGGATATTTAAAAGTCTGTGTGAGCTTGCGGCATTCGGAATGCGCGACTGATTACATTGATATTAGAGTAACGCCCATTCACGTATTGTCGTAACACTGTAAAGTCTGAACATCGCACGCATGTTTCATAATTTCGTGTCATGACTCATAACGTTATTGCTATAGCTTTTCGGGACTTCTTTAGCCATTGATTTTTTCTCGTTCCCGCTCTCCACCCTTCTCTGGAGAGCTGAAGGTTACCTCGAGAAGAAAATGTTGCGATATCAATAAGGGATGGAGCATTGTTCGGATTTCTAGTTTATTTTTCATTATTTATCTTTATAAACATCTAATTTTGTAGACTACTATAATGATGCTAATCGTACAGATCCGCTCAATTACAAATTAATTGTTAAAATTCACATACATTTTTCTCAAGTATACTGTTACTAATTTTATACTTCATAAAACAACTATGGTTAATAAAAAATTATTTTATTTATAGGGTAAAGTATCAACAAGATTATTTAGTGAATATATCATGACTACTTTTATAGAAACAAATAGAGAGCAAGTGATTGCTTATTGAAATTTTTAAAGACAACTTATTTTTGGAAAAATATTTATAAAAAGAAACAAGTTCAATATTCACAAACACAAGATGCCTGCTCCATCTCCACCACCTAGCTTACCAGAAGCACCATCCGTCGACGAAACAAATTATAACAATAGTGATAGTCTTCCATCATGGGCAAAGATTACACTCACCTCTGCAGAAGCAGAAATAGAAAAATTTATAGCTAGAAATGAACTTAAAGATGCTGAGGTTACATACTTTTGTCAGGTGGAACCAATCATCCAGGATGGTCCCCAGTAAGTATAAGATTTTATATCCTTATACACATACATATATATACCTTCTATTTAAAATATTTATTAACCTTTTCATTTCTGTTACAGATGTGGTTTAGTTGCACTTGCTATGGCATCGCAAGAATATACAAAACCAGTTTCTGTGAGTCAACTTCTTGCAGAAGCCAGAGTTCGTGGATTTACTCAACATGGAGAAGTTTACAGTGTAGATTTTATGAGCACACTAGCAGCAGAGCATTTACCAGATCATAGGCCTGAAATACTAATGGATTTGCAAAGCTGTCCCGATGCCGTAACACATACACTTGCACATGGAGCTATGATTTTAGTTCCATATGATGCAGATTTCAATCATGCTCCATGTTTAAAAAGAGGGCACAAAGCACACTGGGCATTACTTGTTGGGCTTATTTCTTCGAGGTATAGTTATTTAATAACATGTTGAATGCAAAGATATTCTTGCAATTAGACATGTAAGATTTACTTGATTCAATATTACAGACAAGGCTATCACGTGCTGGCACGTCATGGCAAATCACGACATTTGGCTTGTTGGCCATTGCGCGATCTCCTCGAAAGTAATGGGAATTTAGAGGAAGAGGGTGCAACAAGACACGCCGGTGGTTACGTTATACCAAAAGGCGGGGTCGGTGGTCAGCGAGGCCTTAGAGGACGAGCGCTTGCTTTGCATCCTTATGACTGAAAGTTAGGCTTATTTTGAAACTATATACTCTTCTAGTACATCAATGTTTCATTGAAAACGGTTTGGCTCTGAAGTATTATGTTTTCTTACTTCACATATTAATACATATTTTACAAATATAATTTTACTTTTTATTTTTTTCCAAATGATACCTACGATTGACAAAATGTTCTACTAAATCCACTTATATTAATTTTTTAAATCATTATAACATTTTTAGCGCTTTCTAAACAAATATGAATTGTATTTGTTATTTTTATGTATGATCTGCTGTATGTAGCTTTAACAATTTTAATAAAGATTAAATAGAATTGTTAATTTTGTTTAATAAGGCAATACCGAGCTCAAACGTTTTCAATGAAATTCTCTGAATTAAAGACGATCTAAAGAATTGATATCACAGTGAGAGACCAAGACTACTGGTATTAGTCTTAGATAATGTCTCTATTACATTAAGTTGAATAATTAAAAGTAAGGTAATATTTGATGTTTGAGTTTTGTCTGCGCATGTATATAGTAACTAAAATACTTGTGAAAGTGCAAGATTTATAAGCTTAGCAGCTATAATGTACATAATTGTTGTATATTTTTCGTTTAATTGATATAAACTAATAATTTATAATTGGTTCAAAGTCTGTCACTGTGATATATATAAAATGAAATTGAAACATAGAAGTAATTAAGTGGGTTATGATATTATTTATGGTTCATCATCAATTCATTACTGTTGAAATATTGGTCAAACTGTTGAAACTAAGGTATAGAAAAAGTAACATCATAATGAATATAAAAAAGGACGTAAATTGGAAAAATATGATCTACATAAACATCGATATTATTTTAATTAAGTTACAGTCATGAATTACCAATAATATTAAGATTTATCTAATAAATAATTTTGTTGTTATAAACAAAGAAAATGTGGTATTAATGTATTCTATTATGATCTCCCTCATAATGTTTCTTTTATGCTTGTATTACGTATATTTCTAATCACATTTTTCTCTTTACTTTTTCATAATTAAGTAAAGGATAATGCAGCTAAAAATTTTATATACAATTATTTTCGATCGACATCAAATTTGAATGATATGCTGTGTTGTTTATATTGTGTACTTCACGAGCTATCTAATCAAGAATTATTAAACTGAATGTATTGAATGTAATTTAATTTTGTTAATTGTTAATATGTTTCATAAGTGTTCAGCTTGTTCAGATTGCGGATATTATAAACGAAATTTCATTATATACAATATTATTGACATAACCAATTTTTCATTTCCATTGCATCCTTTAATTTTTATAATCATCATGTAAATATTAAAAATTTAATACGTAATGTTTCACCAAATAAAGAGCTCAAACCAAAAATTAAATTTTACATTAAGTTGAACTGTTAAAAATGATATATTTATTTCTAATTTTTAAACAGAATTGAATATAATTAACTCTATAAAAAATAAATTGACTTCTTATTATAGTTGAAGTAATCTTACATCTAGTTTTATGTAATTGGTGAATTAATAAAGTAAATAAAACATGGTTACTAAATGCGTTTACACTTATATTTCAAGCTTACAAACATCAACAACATAATTTATAATTTTCGATGGTTGTATACTATATGTCAATATATACGGCATGCCATATATACAGTATGATATTATTGTTTTTGCTATCGACTAATTATTTTTCAGTCGTGATTGACTCGTTTCTTCGTGACTCAGACCTATAGAAATGATTTTTTTGTATAATGCAGCAAAAAATTTTTAGCCATTCATTACAGTAAACAGCAGCCAAGAAAAACAAAGTATAGAAAAATTAAAACCTTTATTATCTATCAAATGGTTTTGATACTTTGCGTTTGTTATTAAAATATGTAGTATTCACAAACAGATTCTGTTACCAGATAGTTTTTGGCATACAATAAAAATCTTTTGTTAAATTAAAATATATTAGAAAGTTTTATCACATATAGTATTTTTTATTCGTACATTAATGAGTTCAATTAATATCTTGTTTCTAAAGTTTCATTAATAAATAATAAGACTCATTGTACAATATTTCTTGTTTTATATAAAATGATTTTTTGCATATATATTCACTTTACTTGCTTTAATTGAACTCTTTAATATCAAAATATTATGTATTATTGATCGTTTATTTATATCATCAATCATCAATTATATATATTTACACGTACATTTACAGTTAGACATCCTTGGTTACGTAAGCACAGTAAAGACGTCTAGAATTCAATATAAAAAAGTTAAATCAGCTTCTTTTCATTAATTTGTAAATAAGTTGGAACTTTGTGTCAGCTTAAAATTCTTTTACATATATTGTTCGATAAAAAAGTTTTTTTCACTTATTTTCTCAATCATATTATGCAGAACAATTTATTTTTAAATTATTCATTAAAATATATCCGCAGATTTCTATAATTCAACAATAATAATTTGCAATAAAATCGTTCGTAATTTTTCTCGTTCATTCTTTTTTTATACAATTCCTAGTTATATTGTACATATAACAATGCAAACTTCCGTAGAAGGTATGTTCGTACAATGACTCGAATACAGAAAATGTATTCGTAAAAACAATAGTTCATATATATATGGTTTTATTCTTTAACATTTACAAGCAAGATTGAAGAAAAATTATGTATTGAATTTTTTCTTTTTCACTTTATTAATCATTTGCACAATCAAATTTGATTGTTTGAATCTACTTACATAGAAATATTGAAAAGAAATTAAAGCAAAGCTTTTGATATAAGTAGATATTTATTTTACATTTTTTAAATTATTTAAATTTTTATTGCCTTCAATAAATTATACTTCATAAATCCAAGTTCTGATAAACCATAACAAAACTTTTTACAATGTACAAAAATTATATACAATTATTTTTTGGTATCTCAGTTAACTTGCATAAAGAACCAATTAATTTATTGTTCTTGACGCTTTTACATCAACGATTTAACTAATCTAGTTAACTCACTATGAAACGGTTTTCTATTGAACAGTCAAAAAATTATCTCTATACGTACTTGTATAATACATGTACATAGGTATGAGTATTTTATTTATTTTAATTTTTTTTTTCATTTTTATTAGTCGGTTCCTGGGACACAAATAATTCGTTTATATTGCAAGTGTCCAAGTGTAAAACGGAACGAGGAACTTTGAAAGAAAGGAGCATTTCTCTGCTCAACAATGACTCTCTTACATTTGCTTCATGTTTGAAAATAAAAATACTGCCTTACAATACCGTGACATTTAAGTATTTGATTAACCATCTTGGATATTGATACTGTGTATTATATTTCACATATTGTTTTATACATTCTTAATAAATTTAACATCTAGTTTGAATTCAAAATACTTTATACACTTTGAAGTTTTCTTATTAACATTCAATGTGAGTGTCAATTCAACTTCATTGAAAATCCTTCATTAAATATTTCTCGATTGTATTATTCATTGCGCCCACCGACAATAATGCACTCAAGCTTTTTCTCATCTCGTCTTCGTTTTACGTAAGAGACATTTTTGTGCTAAAAAAATTTTATTATAAAAGTTTTATTAACTAAAATTGTATGCCTGCTATACAATAAATATTAGCAAATTAGTTGAAAGTCAATTTTGAGAGTTTTAATTTATAACTGACAACTATAATGCAAGAAAATATGTGAGTTTAGAAAGTTGATCATATTCAAAAGGAGTATCATGAGAAAAAAAAATAATAATAACAAAAGATTATACTCGAATATTAAACCGAGTGTGCTGTTAAAGAAAATAAAATTGCAGTCCCTCAAAAACACAGCTTTATACTGACAAGGATGGGAAGAATCGGTTATTAAGCACGAAGTCTTGATTAAAAAGAAGATTGATGAATACATTGGTAGATTATTATAATGAACATAAGAATCAGTTCCGCTTGTTAGATACCGATTATCAACCAATTACGAGTCAATTTTTTGTGCATAATGCATGTCCGGAGACACGAAAGACATTAAAAAAATTTAGATACTAGTCAAGCATATAATTAAGCCAATATTAGAATATACAGTACAATCGCAATATTTTTTGGCAAGAAATTATGCAGCACATCATTAATTTGTTGCTGAAAATTCAAAAGTTTTATCAATAGTCGTTCATTTGAAATATGCAGACACATAGTGTCGCTTTTGGCATTAGGCAGTCATTAATGACATATTAGTCACTACGAAATTCATTCCATTATTTTGATAAAAAATTGTTGTTAAAAAAATATTTATTTACGTTGCCTCGTGTACTTATATTTAAAATATGCTAATATAAAGGCAATGAAAAAATTGACTAACCTATTATCCGAATGAAAAAAAATGACAAAAATTACGCAAGTCGAAGTTAAAATTATATCTATAAAACAACTGAAATACGGAGAATTTATAAAATATTGCTTAATATCAAATTACTGTAAAGTCTCACAGTTTTACTGGAATAAATAATGCATATTTGCGTCTAGTGTAATTGACTCGCGTGCTCCTCTACTGACTAATGGGAAACGAAAATTAATTATTTCATGAAAAATGATAGATTATAGGCAGGACTTGAATAATCTAAAAATTTTTCCACGAATTTGACGATTCGTGATGTTTTTTCTTCGCGTTTACAATATGGAATAAAAAGTTATTACAAATTTTTTTGACACGTTGAACAAATATAAAAAATATACTATACCAAACGAAAAAAACAATTTTTTCTTTCCACTCGTATCCGAAATTTCATTTCATTAATACGTATTATTCGCTTGCAATATTTTTGACGCTGTTTCTCACAACATTTACTGAGTATTGCACATTTTTTGTACGTTTTTACAAAGTTTTTGAATGGAAATAGACATGCCACATACATTTACATGTAAAATGTACATTTTAAGATTTTTGGTTTAACGATTCTAGATTCGTCTAGGAACACAACTTAATAATATGGCTGTACATGTGAATTATTTTCGATATGCGAATAAAACTTACTATTTACAGAGTAACTGTTTTGTATCATCAATCATCAGATTATCTAAAAGAATTAATCAATAATTCAAAATTAATAAATAAAACGAGTAGACGAAACATATCCGTAACCAACAGTCGGCTATTAAAATGTGAATTTTGTTTACATACGTGATTGCTTATTCTGCACCTGTTGAGCTTACTATACTTATTTATATGTAACCTGTGTTGGTTTTTGCTGTAATTTTCAGAATAATGCTAAGCAAATTGTTGCCTTGGAAATGATATTTTGCGCTGTAACTTAAATGTTCATAAACAAATGTGCGGCTGCACTTAATCTACGTGTATTTAAGGACACAAACTGTTAGTGCCTGTGAATTAACTTTATAGAATTATTCTAAAATAGTTCACAATCATCAAAGTTAATAGTAACATCCAAATAAAAAAAACAGTTGTTATTCTATTGTCATCACTCATATCTCGATGAATTTGCAGAAAGTCTTTATGGTTATTGATCCGAGCTAAATGACATTCGAAAACAGGTTATAAAGCGAACTCAGCGCGGGCAGAGCGATTGAACGACAAAAAAAAAAAGAGAATACTACTTTCGAGCGATCAAAAGTACGTCTACTTCCAGATAAAATATACGTTGTTTCTTCAGTGTCTCAACTATACTTGATTGAGAACTTGGAAGGTTAACGGATATGTGTGTACGAACATTTACGCTTAGCCGACACTATTATCATGTATGTATGTGTCGCATCATGACTGCTATTTGCTATTATCATGTATGTATGTGTCGCATCATGACTGCTTTTGTTCTCGTCATCGTTAAATTTCTGCCGATGAAGAGAAAATTTACGCGAGACTCGGCGACTGCGTCTGCAAATTGTAGGACAGCATCGCCACCGGGAAAGTCTTGATATGCGTCTGCCATTGGGCCGATAACTGGAAGAACTTGACGCCGTACCACTCCGTGCCATCGATGCTTACTGCAAACGTGTTTTCAGTAAAAACATTGATTTTGTGAATCGATACATGACAGCGCTCCGAGCGATTTATGCATTTCTGTTTTTGCCGTGGGTCACGATTAAGCGATAAAACAGTTTGTTTAGACATTTCGCAAAGCATATCGCAAATTGACGATCATTCTTATTGCTCGAGCCACCTAGCTCAAGGCTTGGCCACTAGTTACATTATTCCAGTCGTGCGCGCAGCTAGACAAAGGCAAGATATACAATCTCCAATGACGTTATTAGCGATTCCTCGTTGAATTTGCGTCCAGCTGAATGGCCGTTCCGCGCGTGTAACCAACAGAAATGCACGCGAATCGCTCGTTCCTTTACCTCTTAGTGGAATGTTGTGGGTCTTTGCCGAGCATATTAACCGCGTCACGCCATCAACTTGCTGACTCTTTGGCTCGTTTTCTTTCTCCTTCTCCTTCTTCTTGCCAAGCCGCATTACTGAAACAAATACGTTTAATGAATGCGTCGATGGATGCGTGCTCGACGTCTAATTAGCATGAATTACTCGCCGTGGCGAGCAGAGGAGGTTTAATCGATCGCGCTAGCGGCGTTAATTGCAAGTCCAAGCGCGACTGGCGGCACTTGGAAGTGAGAAGCTAAATATTGAGATAAGGGCGAGGATATTTATAGATTAAGGCGAGGAAAAGGAAGGTTCGCAAGGCGAGGCGACAGACTGACGGGAGCAAGTGGATCGACGTCTTCGGACGAACGAAAGAAACGCGAGAGCGCGAAGCTTCGAGCGGGCTCTTGGCTGTCACTTACTCTTCTGTTTCTTTTCCTTGGTCATGTAGCTCATGCAGAGGTGCTGACCGGGCGGCTCGCCCAGTGGCGACAGCCTCTGCACGTGCAGCACTCTGAAAGCCTGGCGCAGCGAGTTCTTGCCCTTCTCGCCGAGCGCGGGCTTGCCCCAGTAGTCGAGCTGCAGCTCCACCGGCTCCCAGGCGTCTCTCGGCTGGCCCACGTTCGGACTGCTCGGCGGCGTCAACCTGCCAGCAGGCGCCGCCAGAGGCAGCGCGCCGCCCATGCTCCCGCTGCCCAATGCCGCTGCCGACGGTGGCGAGCCCGTGGCGCCGGCCCCGGCGCCGGCCTCCTCCAGGTCCACCGAGGCCGAGGCGCTGCTCTCCGGGCAGCCGACGCGCACGTCGTTGATGAACGGCACGAATATCTGACTGCTGTCGTCCGTCTCCCTACGGTATTATTCGGCTTATTACACGTGGCTGGCGCGCGCGCATAGGTCGTGCGGCGGAGTAGCCTGCGCCATTGCGGGGGTCGGCGACCGACCTGTAGGTTACCATCGCCTCGGCGATGGGCAGCAAGAGGATCGAAGCCGACGACAGCAGGTACTCGGCTACTCTGGCGGCGCTCTCGCCGGCCTGAGCACCCTCGCGCTCGGCCAGCTCGCGCCACTCGTCGCCGAAGAGCGCGGCGTACCTCGAGTCTATCGAGGCCAGGTACTTGGACAAGCTGTTGGAGCCGAGCGGCACGACGAGGAAGCGCAGATAGTTCTGCCAGTCGGGCGGTCGGAAGCTCAGCAGGTCCACATAGTGGCGCAGCACCGTGTTGATGAAGCCGTCACCGCCGGCCGTCACCACTTTCACCGGCGCCGGAGGCTTCGCCGAGCTGTTGCAGCTGTCGCCCCGGAACACAAGGCCACTTTAGCAACTGCCGACAGTTTAGCGAGCGGCGGCGGCGGCGGCTCGCGCGCTACCTACAACTTTTGTATGCGGGCCATGAGGCAGCTGAAGGTGGCGCGCACGTCGGCGACCGAGGCCGTGGTCAGCACGCGCAGGCTGCGCTCCTGGAGGCGCGCGGCCAGCACCGCGCCGCCCGGGTCCGACAGCGAGACTAGCGCCAGCGATTCGGGCAGCGTGTCGTCGGGCAGCACTCGGCTCAGCTGCTCCACCAGCGCCTTCCTCGGCTGCGAACAGCAGCGCGGATCAGCGCGGATCAGCGCGGATCAGCGCGGATCAGCGCGGATCAGCGGAGCCTCGGACAATTTACCTCGGAGCTGCTCAGGTCGCTGGCGGGCTTCAAGTCGACGCTCAGGCTGTGCTTCTTGGTCTTGTTGCTGCCCGGAGTGCCGCGGTCCCTGGCGAACAGTCGGCTTTTCCTGTCGCCCTCGCTCCTCTCCTTGATGATCTGCTGTTGCTGCTGCTGCTCGGTGCTGCACTTGGGCGGTGAGCCGGCGACCTGCTGTGGCGGTTCCTGCTGCTGTTGCTGCTGTTGCTGCTGCTGGTGCTGGTGCTGATGCTGCTGCAGTTGCTGCTGTTGCTGTTGTTGCTGCTGTTGCTGTTGCTGCTGTTGCTGCTGTTGCTGCTGCTGCTGCTGTTGCTGCTGCTCGTTGGCCTCGTGGTCGGTCCAGTTCTCGGCGTGCGAGTCACTGTCGTTACGCCGCGAGCTGTCGTCGCTCTGCCTGTCCACACCACGCTCTGCAACACGAACCCTGACTGTACTCCCTTGCATCTTTGGTGTGTTCGGCCCGCGTACATCTCTCCTACCGATTTTTATATTTCTTGTTCTTATTGATCTTTTCGTTTCGATGAGTACGCGATCGACGCTCAAGAATGAAAAGAACAGAAAAGAACAGTGTGCAGACTTTGCAGACAGTCTGGACTCGCGTTGGAAAAAGTCTGTCATTTTGTTATTGTGCTGACTGTTTTAAGGGCATCGATTATCTACTTTTAGGTAAAATCGATTCTCCCACGCGCGCGCGCTTGTGGTTCACGTGTCTGCACTCTGTGTATTCTCTCTGGCAATGTTTACGCGGAATATGTGGAACATAGCATGCTGCTGGATTGAAAATTGCAATTTTTCCAACGCGATCGTAGACCCTTCGTAGCTCAGTGGAATCAATTAATTTGAAAAGTACTTTGAAAGTGTTCACTCGTGCATTGTGGCATACGACATTTGTGCTGGACAATGAAGAGAATGTCGTACAGTCGAAGACTTGCCAGTGATCATTATTCGAGTTTGGTCGCGTCAGGATTGCGAGTCGCACGTCAATGTCGACAAGACGTCACGGGTATTGAGGTCGAGAAATTTTATGCGTAAATCTTTTTGTTTTGCGCGCACGAAAGAACAAAGAAAATTCGGCGAGAGAAGCCAAGTAAAAAGGAGAAAACGAGAGAAATGGAAAAGTTAACTAGTGAAACAGAGAGACGAAGCAAATAGCTAAGTGAAACAAAGGAGACATCAGCAATTGCTTTCCCGACTGAATGCCTGACAAAAGCACAAACGCAGCAAGTGCACGTCTAGATGGTTACGTAATACTACTGAGAGCAAAAGAGAGAGAAACATGTGTCAGTATAGGTGCATAGAGGTAGGGAAAGAGCTGTAGCGGATGCACGACGTGAGTACGCATAAAGGAGGCACACATTCGCACTCTCCGAGAGCACCCCACCTCGCCATTCATTAATCCGCTCTGTCATTCATCCGTCGATCAACTTTTCTTTCTTTTTTCGATTCCCTTGCGTACGGTCGCTCAGGCAGCTCAGATAGCAGGACGGCTCGCTAAATGCACAAGAGAACACGTTGAAAGGAGGAAAATCATAGGTAGTCGACACTTTTTTTTCCAAAAGAATAAAGTCAAACTTTATTCTTTTGTTCTTTGTACAACGTGAGAGAGGAAGATCGTATCCATTTGTTCCTCTTGTCACCTTGCTTCTACAATAAAAACCGCCAGTGCGTTTACTGAAAATCGGTCTCGCCGCTAAGCATCAGTGTGCCAGTTGTCACAAGCTTCCCACTGAGACGGAGAATAAATAGGGTGACGAATAGATAAATCGTGAATAATCTGCACGCGGTAGCATTCAAATATCACTCCTCCTCCTTTGATCGTTTAAGCTCGCTGAAAAATTGGTTTTCATCGATATTACCCTCGAATTTACCCGAGCGAATTAAACATGTCTTGTTCTCGCAATCCTCGGCTACGGTTAGCTTGTTCATTTGATTCTCTCTGTAGTTGCGCCGATGAAGCTGAGCTTAACGAAACTCGAGAGCAACTTTGCGTTGATAAATAATTCTAACTGATTTCGTATTGAACGTGAAATGCGAGTGTGAAATAGCAGTCCGGACAACGAGAAATCGGATAGCAGGAGGCGAGGATTATAAAAAATCAAATGGATTGTCAGTAAAAGGTTATACGAGACGGCGCTTAAAACGTCCATCTCGTAGACAAAGCGGGGGACCGAGCAGATAGCCGTCATTCGATTGGAATGCCAAGATGACTCACAAATGAGAGCAGTGCGTTACATGCTAATAAGCATTATTTGTAGCAAGCAATTACCAACGAATCTCATTATTCACTTGAACTTGATCAATAGCTGCTTTGAAAAACCACTCTTTCTCTCTCTCTCTCTCTCTCTCTCTCTCTCTCTCTCTCTCTCTCTCTCTCTCTCTCTCTCTCTCTCTCTCTCTCTCTCTCGATAAATTTCAATGTAGCTGTTCTAATCGAACCCACTCAATGTTCGCCTGGCAATAATATAATCAGTGCACGCTCGTCCACTGATTCGCACAGCAGTTAGTTGACAGAGAGCATGCAAGTTTTGTCGGAGAGCGCAGAACAAAGAACAAGCGCAAAAGCGTAAGGAGGAAGAAGCGACGTCTAGTGGCGTGTTTGGTGGCGTCAGAAGTGATCGTATCCGCTGTTCGAAAGTTCTTAGGCCCGCTCGCTATCTACAAGCCGCGAGGACGACGACGACGACGACGACGACGACGACGACGACAACGACGAGCAGCAAAGCAACGCGCGACAGAAACGTCAAGACGCAGAGAGCAGGAGGAGAGTTGCATAGTTGGATCGCGTGTGGTGCGCGTGGATGCTAGCGAGGAGAGTAGCCGTGGCGGACCGAAGCAAAAGGGCTGGGGGAGAGCGGGCCAAAAGTGGAATACGTACCTGGGGTCGTGTGCCCGACACGCGATCTATCCTTAAGCTGGCTAGCCGGGGTCAGATGGCCCGGCTGCACTGGCGTAGCACTGTTGGTCGCTACTCCGCTCTCCTCGCCGCTTACTACTATACCATGCAACAGTGCAAAGCCACCCCGCGGGTTTTGGCTGCTTTAGCTCTCGACGACAACAGCTTGGCTATGTTCGCTTCGTTTTCTCGGCTTGCGAAAGCAGCGGTTTGACTTTGGCTCTGGCCGGCGACGACGCGCTGGCCCAAGCAGTCTCGCTGCGCTCTTTCCTCTTTCGCGGGTCCGCGAGCTCGAGGAGCCGCAACGCTATCCTCGTTGGCTTTCGACGTGCAAGCAAGCTCGCGGCTCGTTTTTCTCTTCCGATCGATCCACGCCGCGGCTCCGTCTCGCGCGCGCACTCTTTGCCGTTCGGCGCTTAGCCAACTCTACTACGTACGCACGTACACAAGTATGCTGCAGCGATAAATATGCAAATTTATACGACACTACGGAATGAGAACTGCAAGTAATAGATGATAATGCGGAACACGAACAATACACAGCATAAGCCAAACCACATGTATGAACAAGTACAAGTACGAAGTACACTTTTTCCCGTCATTTTCAGCCTTGCTAGCTGAGGCCCATTCTACGAGTACGCAATCAAATTTCGGTATATAAATACGGCAATGCGCTACAATGTGCAACGACGACAAATAAGATGGATATTCATGGGTGGATACTCGTCGTCTCGAGCTGTCAACAATCTCGGACGCGGATATTTAAGAAAAATGAGCAAATTACATTACCAAAGAATCTTTCACGTTTAATTTACACTGAGAGAAATGAACTTACAAAATTTATTAAAACTACAAGAAAAATTGCTATAAAATATAGTAACTGACTGACACAATGTCCTTGTGAGGAATTTTGATATGATAATTTCAATTATTATAATCTTTGTCATAATTTTTATGATAAGCAAACATTGAAATATATTATGGTTCATTATAAAAATTGCTATAATGCATGATAAAAAATAGGATGAACAATATTTGCATTAAAATATCTTCATATTTATTCGTGCACACAATAAATTTCATTATAAGATCGAAAGAATTTAGTTAAATAGTTTAGTGAAAAATACTAAAGCTCAAGAAAAATTGCTATAATCATTAGTAATTTTTACTAAAATCGAAAATTACTATCGGATTATAATAAATTTTACTATGTTGCATAGTAAAAAAAGCGAGAAAAAATAGCTATATTTACTGCCACGGGAAAAAAAAAACGCGCGCGGCGCATGACAACGCTATTCAGGTTAGGTTCGTCATGCCATTGCCGTCTCATGTATACGTACTCCACGGGCGACGCGGTGTTTTGAGTTGTGTCAACATTGCCAGTGCTGATTTAAGCTATCGATTTATGATCAAAGAAACGGCTGGCCCGACTTTCATGTCCAGGAATTCTAAACTATTATTTAGAAATTCATTACCAGATTTTGAAAAGTACTGCCACTTATTGAACGAATTTGACTTATCAAGCGTTAAAATGGTTTTTTTTATATAAACTTATAAAAAAACATAGTATTTTTGTGTCTGCTTCTTCTTCCGGTCCTGTTTTTCATGAAGTTCATGAAATATTTAAACGGAATTCAAAGCATACTTTTATAACAAAAATATTAGGAGAGCGATCATTTGCATGCCTTTAAAGTTTATACACTTGATAGTTATGATTGGAATAAGGTAGAAGAAGAAGAAGTTCACGACTATTATTTATCTAAAATGGTTATGGCATGCGATGGATTTAATTATATTTAAGAAAATTGGATTTAAAATAAACATATTTTATTATTGGAAGTGTTATTTCTTGTTATTTTTTTCCTCATAAAAAGTTGAAATTATATTTGAATTTTACAGAACCAGTTGAGGTGTGTAAATTTCAAGTCTAACAGTAGATGGCGTCTTCTTTCTCGCGAGTGGCGAAAACTATCGCCACTTCGTATATATAAGGGTTCCAAGTTCTACTTGCACATCAAAATTGCGTGCGAAGTGAACTCGGTATTAGAAAGAAGCGTGTTATATAGGATAGGTAGTTGAATGATTAGCGAATTTGGCGATCGGCGATTAAAGCGACTCTGTACATTGTATATTAAAAAATCTGGAAATTTAGTACTTAATTGTCATATATCTATACATATAAATGCGCTCCTGTGGAATTTGTATTTTTTCATTTAATTCCTTGACCAGTAAATATTGCTATAATCGTGAACGTTATTTATCATACCGAAAAATGAAGATTTCTTCATGGATATGCTAAAATTTATCACACAAATAGTAAATTTTACTATAACGTATAGTGAAAATTGAAGCAGTAAAATTTACTATAATTTGTAGTAAAAATTATTATATCGCAGATGTGTCAGACCGTTACGATATTTTATAGTAATTTTTACTACAGTTTTAATAAATTTTATAGGTTTATTTCTCTCAGTGTACGCATTAATAATCGACTGATGAAACTACTGCCGGAATGAGCTTTGTCACACAATGGTCTACAAGTATGCATAGAGTGATACGTGACGATATGCGGGTACCGAGGCGATAGAGCTAGAGCGAAGAGGACTTGGAACTTACCGTTGTGCGGGGGAGCGAGAAGCGAACGACTAGAACTGAAGAACGGCCTGAGCGACGGCTTGGGCGTGCTGCTTACCGACATGGTATCCAGTTCTGGGCCGCTGTCCGACAAGTCTTCCAGCTCGTCGAACAACTCCTCGATTTCCATGTCCCCACCTGCGAACGTCAAACATCCGATGGTCCGGACCGTGGACAACTGTGCGAATGCACGAACAAATTGTCCACTGTCGGCTACGCACCTGGGAACTTCTGGCTGATTTCCTCCTGGTCGTGTTCCAATTCCTCGGATACTCTGAAGCGCTTCAACAGAGCGATGAATTTCTGCTTCAAATTCCTTTGCTGCAAGAGCGAAACGAGCCGAGTTAGCGTTGGTCGACTTGTCGACCGGGTCCACTGCACGCGACGCACGTACCCTGGCGTTAGGGGGCATTTTGCCGCGGCTCTTGCGTCGAGGGCCCACCTCGAGGGTCGGCTCGCTGTCGCTACCCTCGGCCTCGGCTTCCGAGCTGAACTCTTCCTCGTCGTCGCTGAACTCCTGGCAGAGCCGCTCGCTCGGGTCACTCATCAGCCTCTTATCCGAGTCCACCGGCTGGCTGCACAGCGCAACCACGTGCACTCGCGCCAGCGAGTGTCCGCCGTACTTCTCTGCCTTGTCCGACACTAGCTCCAACTCCAGGTCCATCTGCTTCTGCAGTACCTGCGCGCCATTTCCGTTCGTTGGTTCGTTGGTTCGTTGGATCTTGGCTCTGCACTCGACTGCACTCGAGCAAGGTGCCGCCCGCTTTCGCCTCTCAAAGTATAGCTGCCGCGGGTAAGTTGCCAGTCCGAACCACCTCGAATACCTTCGATAGTTGCGTCCGCGCGCAAGCCGCGTTCCCGTGAGCGATTTCGACCGGCCTCGTCACATCCACGCGTTCGACGAGCATCGACCGCTTCCCGTGGCGCGCGACGTTGTCGAGGCAGAGTCCTGGTGAAAAGGACCGAGTTCGCACGAGTTTGAGGCGACGAGCGTGGCGCGAGGTGGCGCGAGGTGGCGCGAGGTGGCGCGAGGTGGCGCGAGGTGGCGCGACGGGACCCCGAAAGCCTTTGCCAAATCGCAAAACTGACCTGCGCCATGTTGACGATACCCTCGGCGAGGGTCTTGTAGCCGAGCATCGTGCGATTCTTGTAGCGCTTCCGCCTCTGCAGCAGCACCAGCAGCTTGTTGCCGTCGCGCTTCAGGAAGTGTGGGTACTGCAGCGCAAACTGCAGCTCGAGCTCGGTGTCCAGCATCCCGCCGGCCGGCACCACGATCTCGTTCGAGCGCAACGTCCGCTTGGAGCTCTGCATCTTGACGGCGATGCTGACCGAGGCGAGGTCGGCCCCGAGCGGTCGCAGAATCACTAGTCTCGTCAGCGTCAGCGTGCACAGTCTGCGACAAGTCAAAACAGCCTGGATTTCACTCAAACTCTCTATAACAAATGCAATTCTGGACAGTCTTAGTGACGCCACTGCCAAGCTGGGCTCGGCAAGCAAACAAACATTTGGACGAGATTTGTTTTTCTTTCGCCGCGGAACAGTCGCAACAGTCGGAACAGTCTGTAGATAATAGGAAAAATATAGTTTTCGATGCTCAAAGTCTCCGGACCATTACTTTATCAACAATTTATTGCAAAAAATGGCAATTTTATGCTTTTTCGTTAATATCTTTTTTCTAATTATCCTATCGGACTAAGTAATTTTTTTTAATCACAATACATAGCAATATTTATAACAATTTTCAAATTACTGTATACTGTAATAATTTTATAAATTACCAATAACTATTAATTACTAACGTAATTAATTGGTTTACGAAATAGAGCATCCGAAAGTTTAAACTTTAAACCCTCCTTATAGGGGCAGATTAGCAACAACAAAAACTTTTTATAGCTTATGTAAAAGCATTCGATCTATCTTTTGTACCATTTTCAAGATTTTTTTCATCATTTTTTATCCTTTCAGTTAAGTAAAAGTGATACTCTACAAAAAACAGAAGCCGAGATAAAATAATTTTGTTTCTCAAACGTAACTTATGTTCTAATGGGTCTTTGGAAAAATTTCCAGAACCGTATTTTTAAATATTTATTCATTGGCCAATGTTTTTCAAAGCCACAGCGTGGTAATTTATAGGGGAAAAGTTGATTGAAACAATAGGAGCGCGCTGATCGGCCGCGCGTGTCGGCCGTAGTTACGGTGGGGTAAGTGGAGAGTGCTTCCCCACGTTGATTCGCAGCTATCCACCAGTCTTAAGAAAACATTTTTTTCGTTTTCATGATTTATTTTCTGTATTTTTCCAATCTACGATTTCTTTTCCAAATATATTCAATTTAACATATAATATTACTCGACAATAATGTTCAATCGATCGGAGTTATGTTTAGTTCTGTAAATTCCATTATAATTATAAGTTTTGATGTATAAAAAAAGGTTTTATTTCTATTTATTTCCCAATAATCAAGCGCCAAGCAATGATTACATTAACGGAGAATATATAAAAATATTTTTCATTAAAAGTCATTTTAACTTGGCCTTTTCTGGCTGCGTCTCTAGAATATGGAGTATATTAGAGAATTTCTTGAATATACTTGTATAGCAAACAGAAATGATATGTATGAATAACTATTACCTAAATTCACAAAACACTTTATTTTCATCGTATTACAAGAGTAGTTTATATAGTAAAACATGAGAAAACTTTGAAAAGAACAAAAGTTCATTTCGTTTCTACTACACATCGAACCTGAGATATTCTATTTAACATTTAACAGCGCTAGAATAGCTGCAAGCGAACGAGGGGAAGCGCTCTCCATTTACGGCCGACCTGCGCGGCCAAGCAGCGAGCACCTATTGTTTAAATTAACTTTGCTCGTATAAATTATCACGCTGCGGCTTTCAAAAAAAAAATAAGCCAATGATTGAATTATTTAAAGATAAGGTTTCACAAATTTTTGCAAAATCCCTTTAGAACATAAGTTACATTTGAGAATTTCAAATTACACAGATCCACGCTTTTCAAAACCAGAGACCGGAGGGAGTGGATCACAGTTATGAGTAAATCGGTAATAATAATAGATTAAGATGTTTCACATCTATTAATACAAATAAGTACAACAATTTGTAGGCATTGAAAAGTTAATGACTCGCATTCTCTTAATGACCTAATCTTAAAAAATACGGTAAAGTCATTCTAATGCATTTCAATTGCATTTATTTATCGGACACATAAATTTATTGAATCGATATAAAGTCAACATAAGACGTTATGTTTTAAAATTATCATTGAAAAACGTTTATTTATTAACTATCTCTGATATTGAAATTAATATTATCGTATGAAAATTTGGCAGAAAGAAAATGAATAGAATAAAATAGAGCAGAATACATTTTTATCGTTCGTACACTGTAAATTAAAAAGTATGCGAGTAAAGGAAACTAATTATCAGAATATAAACTGCGTTTAATTTGAAGAATATTCAGGAGTGTTTTTATAGAGTCAACAAAAAACACAGGTTGTTAAACGTTTTACTCACACTAATATACGATTACAGCCATAATCACTACTACACTACGTATGTAAAGTTTAGTGTTGTATAATAGTATAATAGCTTTATCGATCGTAGGTTGAATTAATTTTTTGGATAATTTATTTTGAAATAAGTAAAAGTCCATTGGTTTTTATAAAAAAAATGAGTGAAAGTTCTTTTTTTATTTATTAATGAATATTGATGTATGTGGTCGGGTTTAAATAACACGACTTATTTGTGTTCATTAGAATCTCCAAGTTGGAATGTAAAAGATTCAAATAATGTAATAAATAACAGAAAAACATTAAAGAAACAGTGAATACTAGTAGAATAAAAATTCACGATGTGAGAAAACCTAAAAACTGCGAAAAACAGTGTTTTTTTGCACTTTTAGGTTAGGATACATCTTATAAAGAGATTACGTTTCGAATTAAAACTTCAAGCTAAACTCACTGTGAATTTCATTCGACGCGCTATTGGTTGATTCTTTTTGTATTTCTTTCAAGTGGATGCTTTTACGCTATTGATGGATACTTTTACAGCAAAAGCCTCTCACAAGGCGTGGGCGATAATGAATATTTGATACATTAAGTCTTAATTAGTAGTAAATGACATAACTTTGCACATAGTAAAAAAATATGAGCCGTAAAGTAAAAACTGTAATATATTATCAAATATACCGACGAAAAATAACAAATCAAATCATTAAAGTATATCATGTTATTGTTATATGAAGAAAAGAAAAAATGTAAATGAAACAGCAGACACAAAAACAAAAAAATTAATAATAAATGATGGTGTATCCTCTTTGATTAATTATCATCATAATGGTAATGATCTTATTAAATAAAATCAAGCATCATCTTATCGATATACTATTCAAAATGAAACAAACATTATTAATCATGAAATAGCTTCTTCAAATTTATGTATAGGTGAAAATGAAAATAACATTGCAATTAATATTGATAATTCAAATGATTATTCAACGTCTTGACATAATAATGTAATAGTTTAGAATTCAATTAGTTTAATTAATCATGATGATCACAATTATATTCAATATGACAACTATAATGTTCCAAATCATAATAATAGCGAAATTACAATTATTGAAACAGAGTATGAAGAAAATTACCTTGATGAAACGAATATTACCTATGTTCATTATAATGCAAAACATTTTTTAGGTGAAAAAGTTGCACACAAGATTATATATTTTTTTATTGGCTGTCATAGTAATGGATATGTTATTATTGATAATATACTAGAATTTTTGACTACTTTTAAATCTTTATTTAATCGTAAATATCCAAAATCAGTAGATTTTTTAAAATATATTAAAGCTATTAACAATTTATTTTCATTTACATCTTTCCCAGCGAAATCAGTCGGATTTGAGCATAATCGGCTTGACCCTTATTCAAATTACATGGATAAGTTAATTATAATATTATCGATACAATTTCCAAAGAATGAACGAAGTTGCAACAATATTTTCTACTACAGCAGATAGAGAAATCATGGAATTTTACGTTGTGATACGTAATAAAAAAAAAGAATTCAAAACAGTTAGCAGTATAGATCGAAATGTTGAACCCTAGGTGTATCCACTTTTTTATACTCATGGTACGCAAGTTTAGCTTAGAAATATGATGGTAAAAGAATTCACAGAACAGCCTGTGTTTTATCGCAGAAAGAAATGAATTAAATCTTTTTTTAAAAGGTGGTGACTAGTTTAATAACATTTGGTTGGTTTTTATGTAAAAATTGAACAAGATCGAACTGAATACTGTAAAGCACATCAATCACAGCTATTTATTGAATCTTACAAAGGCTTATGGATTACATAAATTAAAGAAATGCTAACAATTCAAATGAATCTATTGGTTAAGTAATTATTCTTCCGTCACCTTTCATTGAATCATCTCGGTAGACATTACAACGTTATCATGACGCAATGGCTTAAATACGGAAGAAAGGTAAACCTGATGTTTTCATTACAATGACATGTAATCCAAATTGGAAAGAAATCACAGAAAATTTATTGCTAGGATAACAAGCTTCAGATAGGCCTGATAAGCGTGTAAAAGTATTTAATTTAAAAAAAAGATGCTTTAATAAAATTTTTAATTTCTGATAATTATTGTTGAAAAAAAAGTGCGCACGTGCGTGCGTATGTCATTGAATTCCAAAATTCCTGTTCACCTCATTGCCATCTGTTAATTATATATTTACTGACAATGACAAAATAAATACTCTAAAGAAAGTTGATAAATGAAATACCTTAACTTCCTTTGGACCAAAGTTTATTTAATATTGTTATTAATAATATGATTCATAGACCATGCGGTGATTAGGGCTTCACAGATGGAAAATGTTGAAAGAAATTTCCAAAATCATTTGAAGAATTTACAATGTTTGATTGAAATGATTTTCTTGAGTATCGCCGTCATGACGATAAATTCTTAGAATTTGTAGAGTATGATTTAGTTGAATATACAAAAATATTTCTGCAACTTCGTTCATTCTTTAGAAATTGTATCGATTTTTTTAATCTGGTTTTTCTATGATTTCATAAAAGTTATGATTTCTTTTTTTCAAATTTTTATTGATATATTAAAAAAAAATTAATTTTTTCAATTATTACGTAAATTTTATGAATTGCTATTACTCGAGTTTATGTGCGTACGAGAAATCAGTAACGATGCCTCTCTAGTAACGATAAATATCTTAGAATGACGACTAATTCTGCCAGTTGTCATTCGGTGCTTATCGCTTCTGCACACATACCTACATAAGTCAAGTATCGCACCTTAATATTAAATTCAAAGTCCTTATGGCTATCTTATTTTAAAATAAACAA